CTCGAGACGTCGGTTGGCCAAAGAATTCAGCCCGGAAGAGAAGTCGACACGTGTAATAGCAGTAAAATTGAACTCTGTTTCAATCAAATATCAAAACTTACGATTCTGCCTACATGTAGTCCAGTATCTATTATTACTTGTCGTCCCTTCAAAAAAAATAAGATTTGATGCGTACTAGCACCGAGCCTGACCCGCCTGGTCCAGGATTCCCTCTTGATTTACCCTTTAAAAACGGATGAGTACAGGTTAGCTGGTTAGTAAAATTGTATACCTGGCCATGTATCCTCTGGTTGCGTTAGCAAGTCATGGCAGAACGCGTATGCCGGTTTCACCGCAGACACCACCTCTGACTCAATTCTGAGTAGAGTAAGGTAAGCCGATAGTTAGCGCATATTTAGGATGGCCGTCATTCTGAAAAGGGATGTGTCCTGTTCTGGATCCCGATATAAACATCGTCGCCGCCAAATGATTTGTAGAGTTGTAATCGCTCTAAGTTTCCAAAAGGCCTGGATCGCATCAAATAACTCCATCAGCACGCTCTCCCTGTGACCTATTTGAAATGCTGCAAAAACCGCGTCTCCTCTCTTCCACACCGTCACAGGAACCGCAATTTCCAACAATCCAAGAGTCTTTTCCGGGCCGGGCAAGGTCTCGCAAAAACCCAGTGCTTTCCATGGCTCTGCAAATACACGCCAAAGCCTGCGTGCTCCAGAGCAAGCCCAAAATGGGTGGTACGGAGTCCCTGTCGTATCGTCACATTTCTTAATAGGTCATCCCAAAGATTGTGTGGTGGCATATCCAAGCACTAAAGGCTCGGAGTTTTAGCCTGTAAAGGACTTGTTGTCTCCATTCAGTCGCACCAATAATGCGTCCAGTGTCTACCCACTTCATTTGTTGCAATGTTTTGATGATGTCCATGTTTTCCTGGTCCCATTTGTGTTATTTGTTTTCTAGATCCGCAAGTGCCTTGCGTCTATCGCAAGCTTGATACCGCACTTTGTATTGCGATCGGTTGTATCCGACACGTTTACCCCTTGCCACAGACAGGCGTATCGGGACAGCAACGGGCGTGGAAAGATGGCGTCTACTTGATCGTTGACTGTGGCTAAAGACACGAAAGAGATCACCGTTCGCATGGAACGAGCAACCCCGACCACCATAGTCGGTTCTATCAGGACCGACAATGATAATAAGAGCTGTATTTTGTTGTTCTCCTTGAGTATCCAGCACTTGGATTGGTCGCTTAAGCACAACAGATAGTAGGCGCAGCTCACTCGGATACTGAAATATTTGGGAGTTCCGGATAAAATGCGAGCAAAAGTAGGATGAAAATGCGCTCCATATCATTCTTCAATGCCAAACGCCTGCGAAAAATAATGGTCCCATCCCCAGTGCTTTCCCATGTGACATAATCACCAATGCAACGAGAAAAATCTAATTGCTCGATTATTTCTCGTACATCAGCATCTTCCCAAGTCCATACATTTGGAAAGGAACATCCAATGCTGAGATAAGGAATCCAATCTGGGCATAATCGTCTGGTATCACTGCGCATTGATCGCCGTATACCATTAACGACACCCTCTGTATACCTGAGTATCTTTACTGAGCAGGTATCATCAGTCTACTCCAACATGTTAGCCAGATGAGTTTGATAATGTCTGTATAGTTGTAGTCTCATGCCCTCGACTGCAGGCTGATGGTCGTGAAGCCCAATATGTTCCAAAAGATCAAAAGCGGCCTTCCTTCCAAATGCTCGCACGAGGTCTAAAAACGACTGGGAGGCATTCTGTGAATCCCAATGAGAGACAATTTGCTTTAATAGAGGAATCTTTATAGCCAGCGTGAAGAACATTTCCAAATGTATGCTGTAACTTGGTCCCACTCTGGCAGCAAATTCAATCAGTGCACTCCGAAGATCTAGTACTCCAAGTCCCCCACTTTTCATAGGCATCATTGCTAGTTCCTTCGCCATCCATGGCTTACGTGTCGGGGCATCTTCCACATATAAACCGTTCCAGACAAAGGTTCTAATAAGACGGTCATAGATCTTCACTATTCCTGTAGTAGACCAGCAATGGCGAGCAATATAAAGGAGCTTGGGTAGTATGACCGCAGCTGCGACTTTTGCTTTCTGCCAAACTGAAAGCGTTTTGTGACTCGCCAATCTGATGCGAATGACGATTTGGTGCTCTGCCGAAGCCCAGGCTGCCTCCACGTCATGTTTACAACTCGCTGGAGTGCCAAGATAGAGAATGGTAGCTGTAGTATTCTGCAGATTGCCCTTGTGATGGCGCCGCTGAATCCGTCCGGGTGTAATGGTATGGCTACGGTTTTGCTTTCATTCAGAACAAGACCTGAATATGCTCCAAAGTCACAACTAACGTTTTAAAGCTTTGTTTAGATCCGCCGGGTGGCGCAAATAGACTGTGGTATCATTAGCATACCCAGCCATTCGAAGCGCTGGTGATGCTGCTTCAGTAACCACTAAATTTCCAGAGTGAACGGCACCCTCATCTATCTTTGAATATAACGCTTCTAATGCGAGATTGAAAAGGCAAGGTGCCAACGGACATCCTTGCCGGATACCCCTTGTAACTTGTATTCGGGATGAGAGGGTACCATTAACTAAGAAGAGCACACTGGTGTTTGTGTGTAGCACTCTTATAACTTGGATCAAACGTGGTGGAAAATCGTGACGCTTAAGTGCTTTTATCATGAAATCTCGGCCAAGGCTGTCATAAGCCTTAGCAAAATCCAACAGTAAGGCCAACGCATTACGCGCTTCCGGCCTGCATCTCGCCATATGTCGTGCCACAGCATAGCAGTCCAGAGCGGTGTGAATCGTGCGTCCCGGGACGAACCCACATTGGAACGGATTCATTCGTTCGTTTCAAACTTTTCGTACAACCGTTGTGATGATTCGGATAATAACTCTATACTACAAATTGAGGTGAGCCAGTGGTCGGTAAATGAGAGGATTCCCTGAATCCCCAGTTTTCCTCAAACAAAAAATATTGGCCTCAGTGAACGATGCCGGAAATAGTTGTTTCGCATACCACTGGCTATATAGTGTAGTAAAGATCGGAGTCAGTTCCTTTATATAATCTCGATAAAGATTGTTGCCCAGCTGGTCCGGGTCATAAGCTTTTCCCGGTTTGCAGGCGCGAATTGCCTGGGCTACTGTGTCCTCCGTTATCAGCATAGTGATATCAAACAATTCTGTAGACATTTGCCTCGCCTGAGGCATCCACATAATCATGTCGTCCATACGGGTCATTTCCAGCAAGACCTTAGTCATAATTGGTTTCCAAGCTGCAGCCATTGTATTCACTTTTTTTGTGCTGTAGCAACAGCCTCCCATCTTTGTCCCGGAGTGTTGGAATTGCATTGTCGGCGAATTTTGTCGATATTCGCCTGAAATTCCCTCGTAGTTTGCCCGGGACGCTACGCATGCGACTGAAAAAGGTGAGATGTTCTATACTTATTACGTTTCCGTTTCAAATTCGAAATTTTGCTCATAATGTCGTTGCATTTAGTCATTATGAGCTCGCAGGTGAATAAGGTCCGATTGTCCTCGCCGGGTGGATTCCGTAGCTGCTGAAGCTGATGTAACTTGTGATACCATCTTCGGAGCTTGCGACGATACGTGTTCGTTCTAGTGTGGCGAATGGTACTTTTTAATCGGGTTATGCCACCCACAATTTCCATGTTCAGACGATCCCATCGATCCGACATATCTGCCCCTTTCATTAAGTGTACCTCCATATCAGCGGCAAACACCGCTAATTTACCAACGATAATATCGCGAGTTTGCTTAGTCGCATACGATGGAACCAATTATACTTGGGGAGGCTTGTGTACTATAATTGGGTTCTTCGGGTCTCTTAATTCAAGCAAGACTCCTTTGTGGTCGGACTGTAGGCCGTCAAGCGGCACCAAAGTGGAAACTACCCACAGTCGTAAAGCATCCGAATAATACCACCTGTCAATTCTGCTAGACGCGATTCCCTTGCCTAGTAGTGTGTAGGTGTATATATGTTGTGTATTCTGGAATGCCTTTCGTCCGTCATCGTTGTCAGGTTGTGGAAGTGTAAGTTTTGCAGTGAATCAGTTAAATTGAGCTGTTGCAACCACTTATCAAGTCCTGGTGAAAAATGGTTCGAGGCTGCGTTGTTGTTGGAGTGATCCGCTAATGTATGCTGGGTGCAATTATAATCATCACCGACTAATAGGTAATCAGAAGACACAAATGACACCTTTTTTTGCAGCGCGTAGAAGGCCTCCCTATCCCTCCGCACTATCGGTGCATATATGCTGACAAGAACCACCTGTATATCCGCTGTTTTCACCTTTATCATCATCAAATTAGGCGTCCACCATTGTTGTAGTAAGATTTCGGATCTGTGAAATTGCCGTGAGGGTGCAAGAAGTTTCCACTCCCGCAGAGTTGTTCGCAAGCCCTCTAGAGTAGACGCTTCATTATCGGTTCTGTAACCCCAGTGGTGAGCCACTTTAGCCACAAAAATGTGGCTGGTGGTTTGGATCACATAAGTTTTCTGCAACATAATAACATCGTAATGTCCGTTGAAAGCGATCCCTCCTATACGATGCAAGCCAAAGGATCGTATCTGTATGTTCAGAACCGAATCCGCCGACATTTTGTGTCAGTAAACCACTAGTTTGCTCCAAGTTTGTTTTGCCCGTATTACATCCCGGGACCATGCGCATCTTTTTGACCGAGGTTCGCCTCCGTGCTACGACCGTCCGTCGTTATCTGTCAAGTTCTCGGTTATACGCATATTCCCTCGCATCGTCTTGCTGCAAAGGGCACAACGCCTCCATAGTGGTTTGCGTGGTACCACGAGAAGACGATTGCGGCCTGTAGGCCTGTTTTACTGGTGTGGAGCGGCCTGCCCCTCCTCGCCGGCTTTCACCGTGGAGGAGGGTGAAAGAACACGTGTCACTCCAAATTGTAAATGTATTGCACGACTGCAATCTTAATTGTCAGCAATAGCCAGGCATAGTTGTTGTACTTGCTCAAATTCACGGTACCACACAACGAGAGCGCTCGCGTGCGCGCGACCCATGACGGTGTCGCACCACTCTCGGATTGTGTAAGGTAAAACGTGTAAAGTAAACCAGTGGTTTAATGGTATCTCCAACGGTCTGGACCGCATAATAGAAGCATCTACGTAGTCCCATCTTTGTTTGTCTCTAGCCAACACTACCACCTCCGTGTAGTCAGCAGTACGACAAATTGTCGCCCACTCGGCACACATGGCACAAGATCTGTCGTCATTTTCCTCATCTTCCTGTATACTAGCTAGCCTTTGAAGCTGCTGGGCAAACGCTTCCCGTTCGCCCCATTCTTCAAGTTTCTGTAAATTGCAGGCTTGTGCTTCCAGCTCTGGAACGGGGAGGAGAGCCATAATTTGGCGCATTGCGGCCGGATTACTACTGAGCCAATTCGTAACGTGTGCCCACGATCGCCGCCCCTCGTCCAGTGCAAAAAGCCCATGTTTAATGCCTTCCGTCTGTGCCCACTCCACAAAAACTTCCTCATTTACCAATTGAAGGCGACCCGCAATGCGGGCGTCAATAGCGCCCATTTGAGAGACATATCATCATATTTTAATATGCGCGCATAAACTTCTGGACGGACCTGCGCTGATGCAGGAGGGGATTTCCTATTTATCGAGTTCAGTGCTGCAGGCTGTGATAATTTACCATCTTGGGATCCATTTGAATATAGATCAACTGTTAAATCTTTCAACACAAATTGTACTTCCAGTGTTGCCTAGGCTTGAATTGAGTCTAGATCATACCCCGCCGACGGAAGTTTGGAGAAGCCAGTCGCCTCGTGCACGCTGTCGCGTCTGCTACGTATATCAGGTCCAGGCTGCGCATGCCACTCAAAGAAAAGGTTTCCATGTTGGACACCATAAAAATAGCTTTCCACATGCTTAGGAGTGTGGTGAAGTGCCAGGAGAATCGGGGCCCAGGGTACCAAGGCCCCATGGTAGGGGCCCCAGGGTACAAGGGCCCAGGCCTCGCAAGGTCCCAAGGTTCAATCGAGGGTCACCAGGGACAGGGTTTCCAGTCACCAGGGGCCGGAGTACTAGTCACCAGGGACAGGGTTTCTAGTAACCGAGGACAAGGGTATCAGTCACCAGGGACAGGGCACCAGGGACAGGGCACCAGGGACAGGGGTACCAGCTACCGGGGACAGGGGTACCAGTCACCGGGGACAGGGGTATCGAACGTCCAGGTTACCGGGGACAGGGTTTCTAGTAACCGGGGACAAGGGTATCAGTCACCAGGGACAAGGGGTACCAGCTACCGGGGACAGGGGTACCAGTTACCGGGGACAGGGGTATCGAACGTCCAGGGTCAAAGGTACAAGGTTACCCTACCGGGCGCACACCAGGATTCGAAAGGTCCAGTGCCCCGAGGTGGTCCAAGGTCCTAAGGTCAAAGAAGGTACAAGGTATTTTAACGTGCAGAGTCGGTACAGGCCCCAAGGTCCAAGAGCACAGGGTACAAGAGCCCAGGGTATCAGGGACCAGGGGCCCAGGGGAGGGGTACAGAGGCCCAGGGGCCCAGAGGTACAGAGGCCCAGGGGCCCAGAGGCCCAGGGGTAAGGGGCCCAGAGGCCCAGGGGTACAGGGGCCCAGGGGCCCAGGGGTACAGTGGCCCAGATGCCCAGGGGGGGGTAGGGGCCCAGAGGCCCAGGGGTGCCCAGGGGTACAGTAGCCCAGATGCCCAGGGGTACAGGGGCTAAGGGGTACAGGGGCCCAGAGGCCCAGGGGTATAGGGGCCCAGGGGCCCAGGGGCCTAATGTCCGAGGGTGCAGAATCGGTACACAGAATATCGAAGATTACAGAAAGTACAGGTACCAAGGAGCCAGTTCTTCCTCCAAGAGTCGACACGTGGCACTATCCAGATGAAAGGGTTAGGGTTAGGCAAGAAAAAGCATACAAAGTATAAGGTAAATAAACACACTCGAATTTGCATTACACGTGGCAGATCCAAGCGCTTCCTTCAAGCTTCTCCGTCACCTCACCTATTCCGGGCGGGATACCCTTTGGCCCACCGACGTCAGGTGAGGTGACGGCTCAAGCAACGCAAGTTGAACCTCAGGATAGTTGGCCTGAGGTGTCAAGTAAACTCAAGTGCGAGCTTGTTTCGATCTACCCACCTGTTCCGGGGAAGGGATTTATTTTGGCCCCCCCGTTGAAGACAGACGTGTGGTAAGCGAACGAACCCCAGGAAGTATTTTGGCCTGTGGGTTCGTACCCATTCCACGACCCGCTATAGGAAGCGGTTTCCCTACGGGGAACAAGAAAAGGGGTCGAAAGACCAAGAAACCGTTAGCCACCGAAGGGGTACATAGTACCAGGTGCACTGCTCTCGACCCAGTCGATTGAGCCCAAGAAACCCTGGGCCCGAGTGAAGCATATCCACTCATGGCCCCCAAGTCCCTCCATACAAGGACCAAGTATTTAAGTCTTCTGCGTCTAACGAGGAGCAAGACCAGCCAAGCCGACGGGTACACAAGGTGAGACCCAAGGTTGACGCGACACGGTATCGGAGTACCCCCTCCGTAAGTCGGCAGTCCGGCGCTGAGTGTGTTTGTGGTTCTCTCACGTCGTTTGAGAATCCACTCCACCACAGGAGCAACATCACTGGGAAAACGTGATCATGGAAGCATCTTCCAGAAATATATTCATTACATCATCCGAAACCATCTCGACTTGTCCGGTTTCGTGTGTCTTCCCATTGTCCATAATTAACGTTGAAAATGTGTAGCGCTGCACATGAGCTGTGTAGTTTGCTACCACATCCCAGACATATACCAGTTCTCGTAAGTAAAATTGCCATCCTCTTAGTATATGCGGTCCTTCCCAGAATCCCATAGGTACATCACGCATTACAGAAACATCTCGAATGTGAAGATAGTGCGTAAACAGAGCTGCTGTTACAGCTTGCGCCGTAGCTGAAACAGGTTTACCTGGGTAAAGTCGGCGTAACTCCTGTTTGGGGTCTGACAAACCCAACATTACGTCTCTTCGCAAATTGGTAAGTAAGATATTAATAACATCGTGTTTAACGGTGTTCGCTGAAGTCAAGTTATCACCAGCAACACTGAAGAAGCGAGTTTGTACATTTTCAAGCGATACAGATAAAGCCAGGAAAAGACACTGCCCATTTGCCGGAACTGATACTGGCGTCCCTTTTAAGCAACCAATCCACTGATGCTATGACACCTCGTCCGTTACTGGAGGAACCAACTTCTTGATTGAGACGTCCCAGTTTACAGATTGGGGTTGAAGAGCTTCGTTTCGAGGCGACTCCACTACATATCCACATCCCCGTCGTGGTGGGTCTCACTATTCAAATTCTGAGTAGTTGCTGTTTCGAATAATGATCTATCCGTATTTGCTCCATTACATTGAAAGTACACAGATATTTGATTGTCAGATGTGGCCTCGTGATTTATCCCTATATCCTGATGGTAATTGTCTTTAATGTTATTTTGAGTCACATGCCCGTCACTGTTGTGTAAAGACACAGATGAGGCAGATGGGAGAGCACTGCCACCATCCATTACGTCATCCTCTAGCGACGAATCTAGCTCCGCTTGCTGAGTCCCTCCTCCACTTCCGGTTCGCTGTCTCCACTGTCGGAATTGTCTGACTCCCCATGAGCTCCTCATATACGGCCATCTTTTGTTTATAACGCGCCGCCGCCGAAGTTGCAGATTTTCGACTCGGTACGCGGTGATTTTTACTTGTCGTGTCGTGTCTTGTCGTCGTCCGCGCTCGTGGTGTAGGACCTGACACTTATCGAGACACCTCGACTCCAATAGTACGTCCGTGTTGCATCCGCGAATTGTCGTGTGCTAATGAGAGTTGTGAATGCGATGTACCCGCCGCAGAAATTCGATTTTTTTTTCAGTCCTAATATTACGTCCACGATCCCCCAAATGCCCGCCTCTGCGGGATGAGCGAGTCGTGAGCGTCACATTCATTCCGGACACCGCCAAAGCGGTTTCCTCAGCTTGTGCATTTGCGACAGGATCCGGCGGTACCACTTCCCGTAACACCGGCGCTCGTGTGCCGTCCCCATACCCTGCGATGGCCTCCGGGAATGTAAGTGCCACCAATTGAGTTTCCAGCTCCGACAACTGAGTACAGTCTGGTAAAGCCGTCAGCGATGGCGCCTCGTATTTTCCAATATATTCGCGTTGTCTGTGCGATCTCACTTCCCCCATCCTATTTTCTTTGACGGTGCATCTACTTCTAGAGTGCGCTGGGCTGTAACAGCAAGTGCAAGGAGCTGTTTGCATTTTTTGAAAGTGATGTAGTAGCACCATTATCGTGCCAAACGCGATGGGGGTGATCCCTGATAGTTGACTGGGTAGCTTCGTGTCCTGAATACAATAATCCAGTAGTTATTGTCTAGCTGCTGAAGCCCTGGCTCCCCAGGGTGACGTAAATCTGCTACTAGCCCGTCAGTAATGTCTGCAAACATCTGAATGAGCTGTAGCGCGTCCAATTCTTCGGTTCACAATACTCGAATAGCGTAATTGTGAGCTAGTAACGACGGAGGGAAGATCCCGCTCTTTTCACTCCAGCCATCAATTGGGTTCTATCACAGCCACGCAACTTAAAAGTTTCATGTATCCATCTGTCAGCAACTCTCTTGGACATGAAGGTAAATGTCAGAGTGTGCTACCCATCAAATATCACTCTTTGTGCATCTTTAAGAACTATCTTCATCCTGACCTTGGCGTCAGCCGTAGTCGCATTGCTTGCTGTCAGTTCCCGTAGTACCGACTGACGGGGGATACCTTTCCCTAAGCGTACTCGAGCTGGCACGTCGGCAACGAGCGCTGCCTCTATGTGTGTCTGATGAAATGACAACATGGCCGATCTCTTGCAAGCTGTAGCTGTACAACTAAGAAAGTTGGGAGGGGCAGGGAGCTCAATTCTGGGCCCCAAATACGCTTCCATCACCGCTTTTTCGTCGTCCGTCATTGCCCTGATGGCAGAGTCAGCATGCAGCGGGTATTCCCAGGTTGCAAGATGATACATACGATCCAGCTCCCGTGTCTGATCCTCTAAAGCTCTGGCTCCATCCGTAAATTCTTGCCGAAGTTTGAATACTGCCGCAGTGAACCACACGTCAACATCTTGCTCTTCAGCAACAGTCGTGGTAGGTAGAATGCTCGCATTGATATCATGATCTTCAAAAGCTTGTCTCTCCGTCCTCTATTCTGGGTCAGGAGGGTCAGGAGGTCGAGGCGGCCTGAGCGACCGTACCGTTGCTTGCCCACCACTCGTGTAGGTGATGTTTAAAGGGTGTACTTTTTATGTTGCTTGTTGTGTTCCACGAAAATTGAAGAGTATATGTTTCTGAGTCAGATCGCGTTTCTTAGCTAGATCGCGTTTCTGCACAATGGATCGCGATCGATCCACAATGTTTGGTCCACATAACTTGGATCGCGATCTACACTTTACCATAATTTGTTCCCTCTCTCATTCACAGATGGCCGTAATCGTCGCTTCAGCCCCGAAACACGTGTCCAATTTGGCGTGATGAAGCATTTTGACAAGTCATGTCAAAACCCGTATGCTGCTTTTGCCACAGGAACCCGCCTCAGACTAAATCCCGTGCAGGGTAAGTTTTGAAGATAATTAGCGCATTTTGAGAGATGACCGCCATTTGAAAAGGATGTGTCCTGTTCTGGATCTTGGCATAAAACGTCGTTGGGCATATGATCTGTAGAGATGTAACCGCCCCGAGTTTCCAATAAGTCTAAAGCATTAAATTAATCCACCTACACGCTTTCTTCTGTATTCGATCGGTAGCACAAAAAGAGCGCATATCCTCTCTCTCACACCGCCGCCAAAACCGCAATTTACAAAAGTACAAGAGTCTGGTCCTGGTAAGGGCAAAGACTAATTGCTTCCCATGTCTGTGCAATTACACGACAATGTCTGCAAGCTACAGAGCAGGTCCAAAATGTGTGGTATGGTATCCCCGTCGTACCGGTACATTCCTCGATCGGGCACCCTGTTTGAATTACAAGCACTAAAGACTCTCCGTTTTAGCCTGTAATGGACCTGATGTCCCCATTCTGTTGCACAGGTATTGCGGCCAATGTCTGCCCACTTCCGTTGCTGCAATGACTTGCTGAAGTTTGCTGAATCCTGGTCTCGTTTATGTTGTTGTTTTCTAGATCCGCAAGTGCTTTGCGTAGGTCGCGCTTTGTATTGCGACCGATTGTAGCCTACCCAGATACGTATCTGGACAACATCGGGTGGGGGAAGATGGCGTCCATATGATCTTCGTCTGTAACTAAAGTCGCCAATGTGATCACATCGCACACGGAGATGGTAAACCCACGATCTATTTCGACCCCATTAGGGCCGACGTGCTAATGAGCGCTGTTCTTGTTGTTTTCCTGAGCATCCAGCACTTAAACTGGTTGCTCATGCGCAACGGGTAGCAGTCGCAGCTCAATCGGGTACGAGATAGATGGCAGGACCGGATATAATGATAACGGTAGTAGGAAGAAATTGTCCTCCAGATCGCCAAACGCCTGTAAAGTAATGGATATAACCCCGATGCTATTCCATGTTACATATCCACCGATGAAATGAGAGAAGTATAATTGCTCCACTAATTCCCGCACACCATCATCTTTCCAAGTTCGCACCTTCGGAAAAGCGCATACAATGCTGAGGTAGGAAACCCATTCTGGATAGATTCGTCCGGTCTTACTGCGCATTGATTGCCGCATATCTCCAGCTATACCCTCTGTATACCCGGGTATCTAACAGGTATGAAATGAAGCGCCATGTTTTATGACAACGCTTCAAACAGTGTTACGTTCGATGGAGACAGCTACGCAAATTCGCAAATTGGTGCAGGTACCTGCTTGACGCGTTTCTGACGAAGTAAGCCTGGTATGGCATTAACCGAAAACGACACCAAGGTTTCGCGGACGCTTGCGCCATGGACGATTACTTCAAGGTGAGGAACATCGCGTCTGGACTGATGTTGCTCCACATGAATGCATATTGTCATCACGTGCGAAGAAGTGTGGCTTTTGTGGGCAAGCTGATAGACTTTGAACGGTGGTTCGCTGAAGGCGGGACGTAACTACCTGAAGCGGCAGCTGTTTAGCATCAGATGGCAGAAGGAGGAAGCGTCCTGTATCAGTGCAATGACGTCCTGAACATCGGCGCCAAGCTTAGCAGCATCAGCGCCAAGCTTAAAAGTCATCTCCAAGACGGAGGATGAAGGCATTGCAATCTGGCTTGCTGCTTAGTCTCCTGAAGAAATTGAGAATGTAGTTTTGAACTTGGAGATGATCCATGCAGACCTGCGCCTTCAAGAGTAGTCAAGGAGATGACGAACGAACACACCAAGCGACAAGGCGAGAAGATGACGAGGCAACGACGACGAAGAAAATGGAAGATGCAACGAATGCATTTTGTACCAAACGTGAGAGTTGTCGTGCACATATTGTGGCAACGTAAAGAAAACGGTGGATTGTTGCTGAAGAAGCAAACAGATGAAAGTCGCGGAGCCCGACGTGGCGGCAATGGCCGTGGACGCTGGGCAAACAATGTCAGTGGAGACAGTATGTTGAAGAGAGTATCCACAATTTAGTGGTATTTACAGCTTCGTTGGAAGTTGTGGTTTCAACGAGCAAGGCGTAACGGTTTTGTGGTCTGTGGACAGTGGCGCAACACATCACATTTTCCATGACTAGTATAAATTTGCGAATAGAATCGAGCGCAATGATAGAGAAATTCTGGTAGCGTGAAACGAGTGGTTCTATCAAACGGCGCAGTCCATGGATGGACTCTACTGTCTTCGCAGTTCACAGAGGTTATTGAAATTGACGATAAGTGGCAACGATGTTGATCTACACGCGCAAATGGGGCATGCTACGGTCGAGGTTCTTCGCAAGATGGTCGACCACAAAATGATCAAGGATAAATGCATGCTCCAAGTCGAATGGACAAGGCATGTGTAGAGGCTGCCAGCAAGAAGAGAATGGCATATAACTTCCCAATTAACCTCGACAAGCGTCAATACGACATCTTCGAGCTGCTACATTTTGACAATTGAGGACCCGTGGAGGCATACTCGCTGGGTGACGGAAAATATCTGGATGAAGCCAGCTAGTGAATGAAGGGTTTCTTCCTGCGTGCCAAGTCGGAGAGCGAGTCTGTGTCAAGAAGTACATCATGATGGTGCAGACGCAGTTCGTCGTTAAGGTCACGTTCTTGCGGCATGATTGATCTCGTATGTTTGCAACTAATCGCTCAAGGCCTTCTATGATCACGAAGGTATTGGGCAGTCCATATGCACACCAGAACACTGGGACTACTGAGCGCGCCATCAGTACTATCATCACTATCGGCTGTATGACCCCTATTCTATCAGCATGCAATTGACATTGCATGTACAGCCCTTGTAAATGTCGCTTTTTCGGTACTCTTCTGCGCTTGAGGTGGGTTATAATGAGTAGAATGTCGTCGACTACATGAATGTTTCGCATATGTGTACGTTGTATATAGCGTAACCCGTTCAGGAGTTCGTGATACTCCGCTACAGCGTTAGTCACCGAGTTGCGATATGACACATTTCCCATCCAGACAATTCGTGTAGCGACAAGCGGCCCCCTATGCTAATTAGCACTGAGCCTATCCCGCCTGGTCCAGGATTCCCTCGTGATACATCATATAAATGATGTGCTCAGGATGGCTGGTAATCAACTTGTAAATCCTGGCCAATTAACTCCCAGTTGCGTTATGCCGTGGACCCATCACTTACGACACTACAATTGTATGGCCGAAAGACTCGCGATTCAAGCTATGGACGCGGGCAAGAGTATACAAATCTTTAAAGAAATATTGCGGTAGTGGGCTTGCCATGGTCAGGAGTAGCTGCTCACCTACAAGGTAATGCAGACCACTAGGTCGGCCTCGAACTGGATAGTTGTATCATAATCACGGGGGCCCTCTTGACGACGGGCATTTGCCGGCGCCCGCAGGGAGCACATGTATCGGCGACATAGGAGCACTGGTATCAGGGCCTTTTCTGTTAAATGAAGATTTGCACCTGGACACGAAAAGGTACGAGAGGCGGCTGGCGACACTGTTCTCCTAGCATGTAGATAGAGTAGACAAGGTGTTAGTGCAGCAACCAACCGATTGAGTGGACAGGAAACTCACGGGGTGAGCGCATCTTGGGGAACGCAAGTGACCGGGCTGAAGGTAAGCGAAAACATAATGTCAGAATACTTTTTTACTACAGTGTTAACGTATCACGAACAGATTTTGATCCCAAGCGCCAATAACATCGACAACGCCACCGACACGGCACAGGCGCCGCCAGCCACCGGTCACGAAAGGGCCGTGACGGCGCCTGCCATGGTCGTTGACCCGCCAACCCACGGAAGGGGCGAGGACGTAGACGAGAGGATTCTCAAGATGCTGATGGGACTCGAAGGCCGCATGGAGCGCATGGAGTCGTCCCAGATGCAGATTGACGAAAACGAACGACTCCGAGGAGCTATCGAGAGTGGACTTTTTACCTCTCTGCTCGGTCGCAACATGGGCAACGCTGGCCCATTGAACCTGGACGCACTTGGGAACTCGCCCAGAGGCGACAAGTAGCGTCACCAGCGCATGCAGCGCACGTCGAACCGCTCGGGCCTCAATACGTCGCACCGGAACCGCGACAGCGCTTTCCAATGCAGCAGGCGCCGCAGCAAGATCAGCAGGCGGCGGGTCCTGCGCATCGAGTGCCAAATGCGCGTCAGCAGAAGCTGACAATCAGGAAGTTCGACGGTAGCGAGCTGTACCATGGGCTCGGCTCCGGCTTCCTTGACTGGGGGCGTACGTTTCTCCGACAGGTAACGATGGCCCAGCACGCATGCGGCTTTGCCTGGTCTGAGGACTTTAAAGCAGACTTGCTTGGACACTACTTGAGCGGTACCGCAGAATGCTACTACAACAAGCAGCTTGAGGTGTGGTGGACGCAACTACCGACGCTAGACCACGTCATGGAAAGGCTCCTGCAGACTTTCAATACCACGATCACGGCATCGCAGTCGATACAGCTCTTTACGGCGCGTAAAGAACCGAAGCAAAGCTGGCCAGAGCACTATCTGTACTTGGTTTCCGTCAGCGACGCGTGCGGCGGTGCGGACCAACAGATGCTCGACAACATCGTGCACTACGCGTCAGCAGACCTGAGCACAGTGCTCATGACTAAGTACGAAAACTCGCGGGTCGACCATTTGCGCCAAGCTGAGGAGATCGCCCACTTCGCGCAGTCTGTGGAGGTCGAGTCGCAAAAGGGTCGTGCGCTCGGACGAGACGTTTTGGCTCACGTCGACGAGGCCTCAACGAAGAAAGAGACACGCACGTGTTTCGGGTGTGGCAAAGTTGGCCACATTTAAAGCGACTGTCGCAGCAAAGACAGGAAGAACCACGGTGGACGTCGTGATAGAGTTGGTGCAGATCTGGTTCTGGCAATCAACGACGTCGGAGGCAAGAACAAGAGCCCGACACCCAATGGAAAGAGAATGGATCTGGTCCTCGCTGTCGAAGATGCGAACGACAAGAAATGCGAATGGATCTTAGACAGTGGATCAAGTCGACACCTCGTGAACGACGAAATTCTGTTAGAGGATGCACGGGACTGCAGCCACGAATGCAACATGGCGGATGGAGAGACATTGTCGCTTTCAAAAGTTGGAAGCGTCCGACTATGTGTAATGGAAGGTGGAAAGGAGCGCACGGTCAAGCTCACCGACGTTTACCTTGCGACTCAACTCGAGCGCAACATTGTGTCGTACGGCAAACTCGAACTTGAGGGGTTCGGCCTGGTGTACGACGGTGCGACGCGCGCACTCGTCAAACGCAGCAACAGGGGAAGTGGCCTTCGACTTGACAATGCTGAACAATGTACTCTACGCACAGACAGTGTTTTATCCTGCGTTATAAGCACGCCAGCTGACGTTCTTATGGCGATCTTGTTCGATGAAGCTATGGCGGACTCAACGTCAGACACGCAAAGTGGGACTCTCACGCAATTTCACCAGCGGCTCGGACATCTGTCGTATGACACGGTGGAGCGAATGGCGAAGGATCCCGCGTCAGGAATCAAACATACGGACCGACGCAGACTCAAATGTCTGTCGTGTGCCGAAGGAAAGCAGACAAAGAATGCTCAATCGCGCAAAGATACTAGCATGAACTCGCCAATCGATTGGTTTGGGGGGGGGCATCTGCTCGGACCTGAAGGTACCCGTGACGCCAAAGGACCGCCAAGATACCGATACCTTGTGAACTTTGTAGACCACAAGTCCAACTACTGCCGCGTGTATCTGGATCCGACAAAGGACCGCGCAGAGAAGAAGTTTGAGCATTTTCTAGTGTTTTTCGAAGGGCGATTCAATTGTCGAATTCACGTACTACGAACGGACAGCGGCGGCGAGTATTAGAACGTTGACCTTTTTTGTAAGCGCACTAAAGTCATGCGTCAAGTCTCAGAAGCGAGAAATCAAGCTCGAACGGGAAGGCAGAGCGGATGCATCGGACGGTTCTTAACATGGCTCGATCCATGATTTTCGCAAGTCGCCTCCCTTTGACTTTCTGGGGCGATGCCGTCGAATACGCGGTATACATCTTGAACCGAAGCCCGACAAGCGCAAACCTGCGCCGCGCATCGCCACTACAGTTACTCACGAAGGTGGCTCCTGATCTACGCGACGTAGTTGTTTTTGGCTCGACCTGCACGGTCTACCGAGACCCACGCAAGAATTCGCTCGCGCAGAGGGCACAAGTGGGTATCATCGTCGGGAGAAGCGACGAGACCAAAGGGTATCGAGTTTTCTTGCAGAAAGACAACGTCGTGGTCGTCACACAGCACGTGAAAAACAATGCGACGCTTAGCGACGAGCAGAACAGTCAGCTCCAGCGAGCACTCGAATACGACGATCAAGACGCGCCAACTGCATCTGAGGGAACGGAGTCTGCAGCTGAGTCAACGACATCACGCGCAACTGCATCAGCAACGATGCAAACAGCAACGACAGCTTTGAGCAGCGGGCGGCAAAAGACGAAGTCGTGTACGCGCTCGTCACACGGTACGCGCGGCGCGGCGAAGCGCGCGCAGAAAACCGCGGCACAGGAGGAGCCAGTGAGAAACACAAGCACCGTCTACCACGTGTACGAGCGTGATCCGAAGAACTATGGCGAGGCGATGCGAAGCTCGAAAGAACGACTGGTAGAAAGCAATGCGCGAAGAATTGGAAGCGCTTGAAAGCAACGACGTCTGGCGCCTGATTAAACGTCCAAGAGACAGCAATGCACTCCACACGAAGTGGGTGTACAAGACGAAGACGACTACGTCGAATGCCTGAAAGCACGGCTCGTAGCGTGCGGGAACGGGCAAGTGTTTGGAGTTGACTATGTCCTCACATTTGCTGCTTTGATGGATATGTCGACCGTCAAAATTATCCTGGCTCTCGCGGCGACGTGGGGAGTAGGCACAAAGCATGGCGATATACCAAACGCCTACGTGAAGGCAGACAAAGAGGCCGATCTCGAAATCCTTTTGCAAGTGCCCAAAGGAATGGACGTGAGCGGCGACACTGTCAACGAATTGGAAGCAACGAACGTAAGCGAGCTTGCGTTGCAACTTCGTAAGAGCTTGTACGGCCACAAACAGGCCGGCCGACTGTGGAGCCAATTGCTCCACACTCGCCTTCTCAACGCCGGTTTCCATGTAGTGCGAGTCCGACATGTGTCTGTACTGGAAGCAAGATGGAAGCGATCTCGTGGTGGTAGGGGTCTACATTGATGACTTACTCGCAACTGGTACGAACGCGGCAGCGGTTGATCGCTTCTTTAAGAGTCTTGGCAGCCTGTCCATTAAGGACCTAGGTCACGTGAACAAATTTTTGGGGATGCGAGTAGCGGTCGACGACGACGGCAGCTACGTGATCGACCAAGAAGGCGCCATAAATGACCTCCTGAGAGAGCATGGACTCGACGACGCGAACTCGACACGCACTCCCATTGGCGCGGACTGCTACGAAGTCCCAACAACAGACAGCGCGCTGCTGATCGCCGAAGAAGGTGAGGGCCCTAGCATCCGGAGCTTCCAGTCGCTCGTTGGCAGCCTACTGTGGGTGGCGCGCTGCACACGGTCAGACATTGCGTTCGCTGTCCACAAGGTGACGCGCCAGACGCACCAGCCGCGCGTCCACGACTTCAAACTCGCGAAGCGCATTGCGCGATACCTGAAGGGCACCCGGAAATACAAGTTATGTATGACACCAACGAAGAATGCAGGCAAGTCGGTGACTTTGGAGTCGTACTCAGACGCAGACTTTGCTGCCGATAAGGCAGATCGGAAGTCGCTGACTGGCGGAGTCATTCGCCTGAACGGGATGGCAGTAAGCTGGACGGCCAAGAAACAAGATGGCGTCGCACTCTCCACCGTGGAGGCGGAGTTTGTCGCAGCTTAGGAGCAGGCGCGTGAGTTGCTTGGCATTCGACAGATGCTGTGCGAAGTTGGTTTGCCACCCGGACTGCCGATGACGCTCCACGTCGACAAACACGCAGCTGTACGGCGAGGCGTCATCCCTGAAAGCCAAGCACATCGATGTGCGCCTCAAGTTTGTGCGTGATTACGCGCGACGTGGGATCATAGAGGCGCAGTACGTGCGGGTTGAGTCTTAGCTTGCAGACCTAATGACGAAGGCCGTGGATGCAGCCAAGCTGGCCTTGCTGTGTGTGTTGATGAACCTCGAATAGAGGCGGAAGCCGAGAAGGACAGAAAGGCATACGGTGGTGCCGCAGTCAAGGAGGAGTGTTAAATGAAGATTTGCACCTGGACACGAAAAGGTGCGAGAGGCGGCTGGCGACACTGTTCTCCTAGCATGTAGATAGAGTAGACAAGGTGTTAGTGCAGCAACCAACCGATTGAGTGGACAGGAAACTCACGGGGTGAGCGCAGCTTGGGGCACGCAAATGACCGGTCTGAAGGTAAGCGAAAACATAATGTCAGAATACTTTTTTACTACAGTGTTAACGTATCACGAACATTTTCGGCCACGTAAAGAGCGTAATGATCTTAATTTTAAGAAACTCATAACCTGTTATAGCTTGAAACGATGGAGCGAAGAACACTTGTGCACTAGAAGAAAGATTTATAAGTGATGGATTTACCTTCTACTACATGTCTTCATGTGGACCTCATATGATCATGAAAACCGGTCGAATCAACATGCTTGCCTAATAAGCACTGAGGGATTACCGTACGAGCTATGCTGTACACATTAGGCTTTGGAGTTCTAATCGCACCTGTAATGGGGCAACCTCCGATTAGACTGAAACAGTGTAGGTAGGTGATCCGAAACCTCACGTACACTGAGGTTTGCAGAGAAAGCTTATGCCTCTAAACGACACGCTTAGAAGTAGAGGAAAAGAGAACTGTATCTTATGTAATTTAACTATCTTATTAAGCTAATATGTTTTACCTTGTCGTAACTATATTAAACTGCAACTATGTATATTAAGTACTTGCCCTCCACTCATTGCGCGCGTCTATCCTTCATTGGTCAGCGCGTAGGCTGATTTCATGACTAATATAAGATACAACGACAAAATTATGTTTGAAGATAATATTGTGAGTATTATTAACGAAAAAATATTTATAAATCGTATTAGCTAAGATAATATTCGCATTGACGCTTAATATTATATGCTAAGATAATATTTGTAACATATTTAGCTAAGCTACTATTCGCCCCAATGTTAGGTAAGGCTTACATAATGTAACGGACTCACCCCTACCGTAACCCTCAAGCGACAAGCAAAAGGAGAATGCTGACACAGCAGCAACAGACAGAAGGTTTTCCATACAGGAACCAATCGGTTCAGTTCAGACAAGATGTAGGTACAAAACAATAACGATATCAGTGAGCCTAGAAGCGTTGTATGAATGCAATAACTGAGCCTGTTATTACACATACTCGTGAGCAAATTCCATCGTCTCGGAGACGATAGCCTCACTCGCAAATGTACTTGGTTCCTCCTGTAAGTGCACAGCCTCAGGTTCCTCTTATGTGTGCACAGCCTCATATTTTCCTCGCACATTTGGGTTTGTCACGTAAGCAGAGCCTTTAGCTCTCTCACAAAACTGTGCACACGACAACATCATCCGATTACGATACGACCTCTTCAACTATTAAAGATACGCGTATAGAGCTGATCATGCATCGCTTGCACGAGATCCAGTACGGGTGCTGACGAATAGGAATCTTTCACCTCTCGGTTCATCTTAGCTAGAAACACCTTTTCCAACAATGGCGTCATGTCAAATTGCACCTTTGCAGCTTCTAAAGGGCCCACGAGGTTGAGTCTCGTGGCAGCACTTAACACGTCACGTGTAGTCATGAATAGATACATGCGTTGTGTAGACCCCACGTCTATGCCCAGCAATGCACATACCACGCCAAAAATAACAGCGTGATGGACGCCTCCTTTGTCCCGCAGTTTAGCCTCTTTCTGGATTGCTAACAATGTCGGAATACGTGGACATGTTGACGCATACGTTGATAGTGCGAGTCTTACAAGCGCTGAGCCTTGGGCGAACGACGCCTTGCGTGCGACATGATTCGAATAGACAGCGGTGGCGCGTCGATTGAGACTCAGAACTGATTCTACGCACTCAGAATCAGATGTCGCTATCTGATGCGAAGAGAAGACGAACGGCAGCGCAAAGTTAGCGCTCTGATGCAGTGAAGTTGAGACAAATTCACGCAGCGATGATGCAGTCAAGAGACCTTCCTGCATTGCAGCTTCGAGTCCAAGAGAATGTGCGAAACCTCCAGTTGGATACAGCGAGTCCACCATTTGCCATAGCGCCCAGTCTCCCGCAAGCATGGCGTCTTAGTGCCGGTCTCTAGAGAATATGATATTGTCATTATTACCTTGATTTAAATTCCGATGATAATTTTTAGCACTAGAAAGTCTAAAAATTAGGCAACTCGATTTCCATTAGCCTAAGTATCGACTGTCTAATCTAGTGCTTCTAAATCTACTGCAATTGCTACAGATTTGGCTGTATAAAATAATAAGCCATAATTTGTAGTAAACATACAAAGTGCCAATTTCTGAACGCAATAAACTACCGGCGGTAAGCCCATTAACTACATTTAAAACCACGATGCAGCACTGCAATGCGTTCCATTTCACTTTGCTTCAAAAGGCGCTGTTTCGTATGCACATTCCCTATCATATTAATGAAGCAATAATGTTCATACCAGTATGAATTATTCGAGCAAGTCCTGCCTCGGCATCTTACTTTCTGCCTCCTTTGCAGGCTTATCCACAATAAATTTGACCCGAAAGATGTCTCCTCCTTCCTTAGAAACAAACTTTTCTCGGTCTGTAGGGATTCCCAGTGGATTCTCATAATGTGCAGCAAAGTCATAGAGTCTCGACATCTCAAAGATCTCCACCATGTACGCAAACAATTCCTCCACATCTGTCTGCACAAATATCGGTGTACCATTCGCCAATTGTCTGGCCATTTCTTCCACAAACTCTTGGGTCACCAGTCGTCGCTTGATGTGACGCTTCTTCATCCACGGGTCTGGGTGAAAGATAGACACACTCGTTACAGGCGCAGGTAGAGACTGCAACAGTTTTATCTGATGAATGTTCATGTTTGCATGCACAAATGCCAAATTCTTGAGCCCTCTTTGTTCCGCTTCTCGCTCTGCCTCCTGCAACACATTGCGACGAATCTCCACACCAACAAAATTTCGTTCAGTAGCTTGTGACATCGCCACATCCATGAGGTATTTGCCCCGAGCACAACCAATGTCTAGGTGAATGGGTAGCGATGTATCAGCAAAACATTGCGTCCAATTTGGAATCTCAACGGGCTGGCGATAGACCATCGAGAGTGGATTCACATGCTGGCGGAACCGTTTAAAGCCCGACGGAGAATTGGAAGAAGGACATGACCCCGATGCACCACTGACTTCAAATTTCGGTATCGTCACACTAAAGGACCGTAGCATGTATCTTTGGCTATGAATGCACGTGATAGATATCATAGCTCCACCCCGGGACCAATGCGACCACAGGCACGCCATATGCAGATTAATATACTCGATTGGCTGATGTCAGGTCTTTATTTAGGTACCCTAAATTAAGAAATATCAATAAAGTCATACCAAACACCCTAAATTAGGGTGTTTGTAAGTAATTTATAGCGCAATTATATACGAGTCAGTCAGTCAGTAGCTCTTTGGCAGCACTCTTTTAATCGACGCTATCTGTGGTGTGATCATGGATGAGAACGCGAGTGGTATTGTTTGGCAGCGTGAGCACATTGGACGGAATACATTGTCACAAATAGATGGTGGTATGGGTGCTACAAGTGACTTGGAGCTAGTCAGATCTTTCTACAATGGCTTTGAAATGTGGTGGCTAGCTGGAATGCCCATCACGCTCGTGTTTGTGCTGACGCTGTTGAGTTTCTCACTGGTCTCGGGCTTTAGTGGCTTGGAAAAATCGAAGTGTTGGCGTAGAATACTACAAGTGCCGATTTTGCGACTTGTGGGCTGGTTGAGTGGACCTTTGAATGCAGATTATGCTGGACTGGAGAGGAAGAAGACGAGGAGCTCAATGTTGCGAGGAGAGCTTAAGATTCCTGGTCATATTGCAGTGATCATGGATGGCAATAGACGCTATGGGAAAGAAAAGTACGGGGAGGGGGTGAGAGGACACTCGGACGGTAGTAGGACGCTTGTGAATTTTACAGAATGGTGCATCGACGCGGGCATCAAGGTGCTGACGGTATTTGCATTCTCGACAGGTGCATAATCTCGTGATATGGATCTTGATATGGACTGGATGCTGACTCGTGTGGTCATATAGAGAACTGGGATCGGGAGCAAGTGGAAGTGGACGCATTGATGACTTTATTCAACCAATTTATGCATGAGATTGTGCCGGAGGCACTGAAGCGACATGTTCGCGTTCGTGTTCTAGTGTCCGATGGACGAAAGCTTCCGATGTATATTGTTGAGGCCATTCAAGAGATTGAGACCAAGACGCAGCATTGCACCAAGTTTAGTCTCAATCTCTGCGTGAGGTATGATGTCATTTATTTATCGTTTCTATTGGTGAAAGTTGCTGAGCTAATGCTAGAAGCTATTGATAATGATCTGGATAGCTACGGCGCACGTGACGAGATTGTAGGTGCCTGCAGGAAAATAGCTACCGAGGTTGCGAAAGGCGAAACGTCTGTTGACGACATTAACGAGGACCTGCTCAGTCAGCACATGCTCACAGCGTACGACATGTACTTAACATAGTATCGAGATGGCCAATTACCTACTGACAAGTACTTTGTATCTACTGCACTGTTGCAACAGCGGTCTGCCGGATCCGGACATTCTCATTCGCACATCAGGCGAGCTGCGCATCAGCAACTTTTTACTGTATCAAATTGCGTACTCGGAGCTGATTTTTATGGACAAAATGTGGCCAGAGGTGACGCGGGATGACGTGCAAGGCATCATCCTTGAGTTTAATCGCCGTAAGCGCCGCTTTGGCAAGTAATTTGTCACTGAAGGTAGATGCAGAGTTCTGCCAATACATTATGCTGTAACTAGGCAGCATTTAGAGTCGTCTGTAATTAGGGTTTTACCTAAAATACGGTAATCGTATTTGATCTCTTGATTAAGTATCTAAATAAATTCCATCTATGCTACCATCAAAACGATACACGGCACCTAGCCGTTTACTTAGTTCATCTGCTACTTAATTATGGCAGGTAAAGGCGACACTACACGACGCAATTATACTAAGAAGAGTAAGAATAAAGGTAAAAAGGAGTCGAGTTCTTCAGCTACTGAATTAGTCGAGTCGAAGGATCCTCCAAAGTCCACGAACGACGCTCCACCTCCAGCCAAACCCGCCGGTCTGAAGACCAAGTTTTGTCTCAATTGTCATAAGGATCTGACGCGCAACATTCGCGTCACATGTGCTGAATGTAATGTGCAGCCATTAGTTGAGCTCTGTGTCGAGTGTTTTGCAGTTGGAATGGAGTTGGGTGAGCACAAAAAGAGTCACAAGTACATGGTCTCAGATTGTCTTGCGTTTCCGATTGTGTACGAGCCTCCGACACTTCAGAATACGTGTCTATCTCCTGCTGCTATTGGTACAAATGCTGCTGCTTTTCTTGCAGCTAGTAATGATGCTGCTAATGCAGTATGGACAGCAGATGAGGAATTATTGCTACTTGAGGGGATTGAGATGTTTGGAATGGGCAATTGGAAAGATATTGCGGAGCACGTGGTGACAAAAAGTGATAAGAGATGTGAACAACACTATTTAACAGCCTACTTAGGCTGGGAAGATCTGATGCCAAGGTTTGTAGGCGATGCCGTTGATGAGAGCAAGGAGAAGCTGACACAAGGTAAAGTACACATGATAGAAGGAGAAAAGTCGGCTGAAATGGATACAACGTTAGATCCATGTACGCGAGGATTGCCTGGAGAAAGGAATGGACCTAGTCAATTGGCTGGATATATGCCGCTACGTGGAGACTTTGATGTGGAGTATGACAATGAGGCGGAAGTGATTCTGGCAGATATGGAGTTTTCGGATACGGACCATCCAACAGAACGAGATTTGAAATTAAAAGTTATTCACATCTACAACCAAAAGTTGGAAAAGCGTATGGAGCGTAAAAAGTTTGTGGTTGAACGAGGCTTATTGGACTATAAATTGCATCAGCATACAGAACGTAAACGACCAAAGGAGGAACGTGAGTTGCTGGCGCAGGTGCGGCCATTTGCTCGGTTTCAAACCCCAAAAGAACACGATAACTTTGTGGAGGGTTTGATCACGGCCATGCGACTCAAGAAACAGATCCTGCTGCTGCAGGAGTACCGCAGGAACGGCGTTCGAACGCTTGCCGAGGCCGAACTGTACGATGCAGATAAGAAGAAGCGTGATTTGGACCAGGCGATCCAGAAGCAGCGCGATAACGCCTCTTATTTATACGAGTCAGGTCGTACGACTTCCGGCCGCGATCGTGCTAACCGGTGGCAGAATCGGGAGCAGGGTGCGAATGGCGAAACAGGTGGTGAGAGTCTAAGAAACAGAGGAGCTGGAGCAAGTGACCTGAACGCGATTGCAGCTACGTTCTCCATCGAGGGTACACCAGGCTGCCATTTGCTCACTCCCAAGGAGAAGGAGCTGTGCAGCAAGCTGAAATTGCTTCCTAAGGTACTTGTTGGCCATCGATTGGTTGATGGCGCCGTCTTGTCCGTCTACTTTGCTGATATGGTTGTCGTTGGTGTGTTTTGTAGCACTATCTGGTGATCAAAGATGCATTGGTCCGCGAGTGCTTTCGCTTGGGCTATCTGACCAAGAAGATGGCCAAGGAGACGGTACAGATAGGTGAGTACTCGGCATCTTGTTGAGCCCGCAGTTATATGTTGCTGACTCACTTTGTGCTCTTGAACAGACGTGAATAAGACTGGTCAGGTCTACGACTTTTTTGTCAGATGCGGCTGGGTCAAGTCTGAGAACGCCACCACAACAGGTGCGTGTGCTCTGTATTGTGTTACTACAGCACTGTCAATCTATGGCTTACGATATGTGCATTTACGTGCTACTCTTCAGTTTCACCATCGTTGAAATCACTTAACATCAAAAGCTGTAAGAAGGGTAAAGAATCGGTGGAGGCCACTAAAACAAGCAAGTCGGTTCCGGGAATAGCAACGAAGGAAGGACAGAAGGCCGCAACACCGACAAAGCGCAAGGCAGACGAGATGCAACCATAAAAATTGGGAATGCAAGTTCATTGTAGTCGCAAACGTTTGTTTTGTTCATTCAGATGTTGCAGTGCAATTTTACACGGAAGTAGAAGCTTTCAGAAGCGCCATTAATAAAAAAAGAAGCAATAGTGAAATCACAATGGACTGTCTACTACTACATTTGTATGACGCTAGGATATAAATTCTTGCCGCTAATAGCGCTGGTAAAAGCCAGTGCTGAGCTTCCATACTAAACGTCAGTCAGAAAGAAAAGTTTGCACACGCAAATGAGGGTGAATTTGGCTAAAGGTTCGAAAAAACGTTGCGTTTAAACAGTATTTTATTTTCCATTCTTAGGGTAAAATTCAAGTCGCTCTTATGTTGCAAGGAATCTGAAACGCAAGAATGATGGTCAGCTGAATTTTTTAAAGGTAATTGACGTCATCACTGTTCTTTATCACTACTGACTAGAGGTGGTACCCAGACTCAGACTCAGTGGGTAATTACCCATACCCAGACTCATGGGTTGGGTATGGGTAATTGGCTTTAATTAACCACCTTACCCATGGGTAAATGTACCAAATTTATAAGGCATACATCAGACACACCTGCTCGTATTATTTATATAATTGTTAAATGTATTGGTGACTCATTACGCCTTTTTTGGTGAAAGTCTACCGCACATATGATGCAAAGCAACTGGAGCCGGTGGCGCAGGCCATGCTAAGCAAACTCAAGAAATATATATCAAGCTGGCGTTTAAACAGGATGCAAACTTCTTTGCAACGGTGTTAGATCCAAGATGGAATATCAGCTGGTTCAAAAACCTCGACGAAGGGCCAAAGCAATTTTGGGCTCTTGGCCATAGCCCACAATCATATTGAGTTGCTTTTTGTGGATGCAGCATACAGTCATCAGAAGTCATTAGAAAAAAACCCGCCTCCGCCACCTGTCAACATTAGTAACGCATGAGCGATGACGACATGGAGCCAGACGTCTTCGCATTTGTTGAAGGCAGAGTTCTAAGACCGCAGTGAGCAAAGTCGAGGAAAATAGCTCAAAATTATTTTGCTCTTTCGCCTGTTCACATACACAAATTGCCATTGGAGTGGTGAGCACTGCATCAGCTGCAATTCCCGACACTTGCAAGGATGGCAAGATTTTATCTGGCCCGCGTCTTCAACTCCGTTTGAGAGAGGTTTCTCTCAAGGTAAAAAGACTTACAGGTAGAACAGAACTTCGCTTTCCCCTCAAAAGCTTGGAGAGGCTTCTGTACTTCAAGGATTGGATAAGGACACAGGGTCACGTTATTTTGTCGGCAAGGGACTAGTTTTTTCCTTTGTCAGCTCGCTTGAACTTTCCAGTGGGAGACGTAGAGTGTGGATACTTTTATTATCAATTTTCTTTATGCTTTTCTCCCTTCCATATTATTTAATAGTCCGCATGTTTATTGCGCGGGTAACATGGGTAATTACCCGCGGGTATGAGTCCAAGTCGTGGGTAAACGCAATTACCCAACCCAGACTCATGGGTACCACCTCTACTACTGACAGATTAAAATAAAATAACCTTTTAATTTTAATATTCTCTTTTGTCACATTTCAATAATCACCATATAAAAATTCAAAGTGAAAAAAAAAACAACGCCATAAAAAAAAAAGTTTCCCGACAAGAAGAAGAAGAAAACAAACCCGAGGAATCTCTCTCTCTTTCGTGCTCTTGTCACCATCTTTTTCTCTTTCCCCTCATGAACACGGAAGGGCTTTCACCACCGAGAAAACGTGCGCGTCTTCGTGCCGAAGAAACGACGACTTTCCATCCTTTATCCCTCTCTATTTCACCCCCTCTTGCTTCCTCCTCTCTCACGTTTTCTAGTCGTATGACTAGAGATTCTTCTCCTCCTCCTCCTCCTCCTCTCCTTCAATATCATTCGTATCCATTGATCAAGTACCATCTCATGAAGAAGAAGAAGAAGAAGAGGAACAAGTTCGTTCGGATCTTGCCATGTCGTCCTTTCTATTGCTTGCTCGAGGACGTCTTGATGCATTGACAGCACCAATTCCATCGCCATTGGCTGGTTCTGCCTCTGTAGACGCTCTTTCAGCTGCTGCAGGGACATTAGAAGCACTTAGTACGAGTATTGTACCATCTGATGAGCCAATGCCACTTGCTATGGCTGTAGCAGCGGAAGAATCGACAACGGACGACGAGGAGCTCCAACATCTTTCAATGGTTAAAACGGAGTCTTCTAGTGCGATGATTTGTGCGACCGATGGCTCCATTGGTCTTGAATTAGACTATGAAGATGTTGTGACGTTTCTGTTTAATATGGCACGAGAACAAAAGACACAGGAACTTTATAAAGGAATGAGAACCGTGGGCAAAGCTCGAAATGCTCATGAACTATTGCCACGACTTTTAACAGCTGAAGATGAGACGGGATTGACGTTATTGATGATTGCAGTACGTGGGAATGATAATTTGTTTTGTCGGATGCTGTTGGATGCTGGAGCTGATGTGAATTATAAGACAGTACGTGACTGCTTTGTGCTTGCTCTTTTGTCCTCATAGTGTGCTAAGTATTAGTTATTATTATTTCTTTGGATATGTGTGTGTATTACTGTCTCTCTTGCAGGAAAAGCGTACTTATGCTCTTCTTCTTGCAGCGCAAAAGGGTTGGGTAGAGATTACAGCGTTTTTGCTCGAGTGTGGCGCCAATGAAGAATCAAAGAACATGGCACTTATTCCTGCAGCTCATTTTGGTCATTTGCCCGTTGTGAAAATGCTTTTGGAGACGGGAGGTAACCAGAATTACGCCAATAAGAAGGGCACGACCCCATTGATGCGTGCAGCGCAGGAAGGACGTGCGGAAGTGGTCAAGTTCTTGATCAAGAAAGGTGCTGACACATGTGCGGCCAATAATGAAGGCATGACGGCACTCATGCTAGCAGCACAGCGTGGACACGCGACTATCGCCACGATGCTCATGAACTCGGGCTCGAATGTGAATAAGCAGACTCGGCAAGGCAGTACGGCACTACTGCTGGCTGCCAAGCGCGGACACACGGCTGCTGTCGAAGCGCTAATGACGGCTGGTGCAGATATATTCCTCAAAGACGACCGGGACAAGACAGCAGCCGAGACAGCTCAGCGTCGAGGACACGTGGATTTGTTTTTGAAGATTTCGGTGCAGAACCAGCTCCGATTAATGCGCGAGGACCTCCGACGGCAGAGGTGCTACACGCTGATGCGTTTATCGACGCTGTATGTCCTATCACGTGCGCAGCTGACACCGGTGTTCACGAACCAGAAGCGACAGCAGTACAATGCTCTGATGGATCGCACGCTGCGCTTGCCCAAGCCGCTGTTGCAGAACATTGCTCTCTTCCTGCCATTGTGCCGGATGTGGGACCGTCAGCTCCGGTATCTAATCTATGAGGCGGCGCCGCAGCCCAATCGCGTGGTGCAACAAGGAACTCGCATCCTGGACGAGGTGCTGCTAAGCGTCAGTCTTGAGATGCGACCTAGTCTGCATCGAATTAAACAGGAATGTGGCGGGCCGCTGCACGTGACCGGCCAGTTAGGGCTGCTGCGCGATAGTCCAGAGTACCGTGGATTGTTTACGACGGAATCGCGGACACTTATGCCTCCACGTATGGTGCATCAGCTGCGACGTATGGCCGACATTCAAGGTGCACTGTCCACATATGCTGCCGGTTCGTCAATCCAGTTTGGCGTAGAAGTTGCGCAGGACGTGGTGGCGTTGCTCACGGATCTGCTGAACTGGGAAATTGGTCGAAGGCAAGCCGAGCTGTTGAATTGAAGGCAGCAAGCGCAGTAACTTAGTAGATATAAGTAAAGAGAGAGCGAGGACGTAATTTAGATGGCCAGACATAAGCAAGAAGGTGATTAGAAGCTGCGTAGTCAATCACTGTTTGTTCTACGTCGACAAGTGTCTTGTCGCGTTTGAATGCGACAATTCCTGTCAGTTGGTATTAGGAAGACAGAGAGATGGAATTCCTGGTGCACAACATCTCACACTCGGATCTGGTCGTGGAACTCTCATGGTTGCGGCCAGACGGCGTCGCTAGCAGCAGTAATGGAGCTTCTGTACCAACTGCCTGTCGACCCGTGGTCAGCATCGACTTGGACGGCGTCTCCGTGCCGCTGTCCATATTGGGGCGACCCAAATTCAGTCTGTTCCAGAAAACCAGTCGGCACATTCTGGAGCGCGTGCAGCAACTCGGACATCCCAAACGCGACGCCACACATGCGGCTGCAGTATTGAGTGTCCCTGATTCATCATCACTGCTGCATCCGAGTCTTTTGGACATCCAGGGTGAGCGCTGGAAGGTGCACTGTCAAGACACACAGTCGCCCATTGGTTTCAACTTGGCAGATGCTCCGATCCTCATCAGTAACGTAGAAGTACTACGAGATTTCCAACTTCGTGGCGAGGTGGAAACTACGAAACTCGTGGAGCAACATTGGGATCGAGTCGGTATTACGGCCGTCTACTTCCCGTTGGTGGCACTGCTGCTACCCAAATGGATGCAAGTGCTAAAGGAATTCCAGTCCGAAAACAGTCGACAACTGGTATATCTCATCAGTGGAGCGGGCATTCCACGCAATGTAGAGCACTCGCGCAATGACAACTCGACCGAGATTACGGCACAACTCATTGCACTGTTCGTGCACCAGTATTACCCGCACATGACTGCGATTCAAGTGCATTCAGGGTCAAATATCTTTCGGTTCGACGACAATGTGCAGTTCATGACACGAGAGCTGAGACCGTTGCTGGAAGCACAGCGCGAGACACTGGTGGATCGATGTGGTGAGGCGTGGAAGTCGCACTTTCACATCACAATCGCGTACGCCGATGGACCTCCAGCACGACTTAGTGCGTTAAATGCTTCACTACGTATCTACAGGCCGTCGTACCTGCATATCTGGCAGCTCAAGACATTCTGGCACGAGCGCAAACTATCCATGGTGGACGTGGACTTTCATTCGTTCGAGAAAATCGAGGCGTCGCCGTTAGTGGCGCCAAGCAAAGCCGACGCCATGACGCAGATGGTAGTGCGCGAGATGAGAATGTTTCGTGACCAGTTTCTCTCGGCGGAAGGCGAAGGCGAGGTGGCCAGCTTCTGGTTGCGCAAGTCACGCAAGCCCGTACTTGCCGTGCTTTTGATTGAGAAGCCAGCTACGGTAGCAGGAGAACGTCCGACAATTGTAGTACAACGAGGAATGAATTGCGAAGTGTCCATGCCGACAGGATCGTTGTGTGCCGAGCGCAACGCCATTGGTAGTGCGCTGGCTAGCGATCCGACGTTAACTCGCCGCGCTTTAAAGATGATTGCCGTGCTGGGTTTAAACCTCGCTGCTGATGACATCGTCAGTCCTTCGCCGTCAAAATACACAAAGCATCACAATACTACACAAGACGATGACAAGAAGAAGAAGAGGAAGCCATCGCAAGTGCAGGCTGGTGCTACGTTAGACGAAACTACTTCAACTGCAAGTGAACCTGGCTCGATTGCGACCCTACTCCAGTCTGTAGGCTTACAGCTGCCTGTCCAGATCCGTCCTACTTCCGTCCAATGCTCATCCAAAGTAGACAAAGCATCGATTCCGACTGACGAAACCGTGCAGCGTAGTGCAAATGGCACAGGACGAGGTCAAGGATGCGGAAATCGTGGGCAAGAAAAGATGAATGTCAACCTCGTGTCTTCGAGAAAACCCAAACGGCCACGCACGTTTTCATTCGACAAAGTGGCCATGGAAGAGATGATTCGTGGAAGTACACCACTGGACCGGAACCCACTGGCACCGTGTGGAGCTTGCAAGGAATGGCTGGTCAAAATTGCTGAAGCCAATCCGTCGTTCCGTGTCGTCACGTTTGAGAACTCGCGATGCCGAAATGTCTACATCAGCCAGATCATTTGAGCTGTTTTTCGCAGCTTCTGGACGGTAAAGGAACTCAGTTTATCTTTACTCCGAACGAAAGAGGAAGGAACGTACGACACATTTTGACCTTCTATACAGGAAGCTTGATACCCTGTTCTTCTCTATTCAATTGTTCTAACACATTAGCATGACATCTTGACGTGGGTGAGCATAGTATGCATGCACTTTAAGCAACCGTAGCAGCCGTAGCAGCCCCTGTCGGCTAATATACAACACTTTACGTCTCATTAGTCGATCGGCGACCGTTCTGTTGTCCGACCTTTATCCGTTTGACGCCTGGAAAAGTGTCTCTGCATGATGCTTTGCGTCCGAAATCTACGTTCTTACAATACAACAGGCGCTTCTTTAGTAGCTGGTTCGAGGATAAGGTGCTGGCTTTCTACCCAGGCGGACGTGCTTTCGTCCACATGGTGACGTTAGACACGCTTGAATCAGCGATATATATGTAGACGAGCCGATCAGATGCACATGTCTTCCGCTGCACGGCAAGTTCCCAATGTGGTGTAGAGCAAGGGAGAAGCTCAGCTGCAAACAAGAGACATTCGAATTCGGCGCTATTGAAGGTGCGTCAGCAGAAGCGGCTTGTTTACTACATTGTGTGCGTTTGCACATGCTGTTGCAGCTGCTTCTGGCGTACTCTTTGGGCGTGCGTGCCAGCATCAATGTTTCGCTCGTGCCAAGCAGTTCTGGCTTTAAAACGATTCCGTGAGCTTTTGATGTGACGTTTTTCTAGCGTCTGTACGCAAAGAGCTCAAGTCTACATACGCGAGAGGCTGTCGTCGTCTTTGGACCTATACGACTTGTCGTCCTCTAATAACAACTAGCTGTCTTTCATCATCAAGAACCCCCCCCCCTTCATATCGACGGTGGTAAAACAACTGACGCAAGTTCTTATTTCATGATAAGCTCGACTTGAACATGGTCTCGGCATGTGTCAAAGCTGTTCCTACAGTTTACACACTGGGACGATTACCAATGCAGTAGTAACCTACAAGCATCCGGTGGAAGACAAAAGAACTTTTCTATCTTAGATAGTAAACGTCACATGGAGACAAGGCTCGGTTTCGTTTTTATAGGGGCGGCGCATACAAAGTAGACAGCTCCAGACCAGAAATAGAACAAGTCCGATGTCAGTTCGTCAATTGTTCGAACTGAATGCTGGGAGTGGACGAGGCATCGTCACGGTCCGTCCACGACGTACACCTTGTAACAACTTCACAACGAACTACCCCATGGTCCTGTCTGTCAGTTGCCAATTACACACAAAGGAGAGACTTGGACAAGCTCCATTTTGCCATTCGATTCCTTCTTCGAAGACAGCAACACTTGACATTTGTCATTTCATTATCAATGGGCATAGATCATAAAGTTTTAATGGCCACTCCATTCCATTCCGAGACGTATGAAACCTTAGGTCAGGCCTGGATTTGGTCCACGAAGCAACAGGTTGAACCATCTACAAATAATAGAACCACACCTTGTACTGCATCTTTGAAACGACGAACGGGGGCACTACGTAAAAGTTGCAGTGATCGACAAGAGAGCTCACCCATGCAACGGACGGAGCTTTTACCTACAGGCCGCAGTGTTAATGTACTGGACGTGGATGACAACAAGACATGGAATAGCCGCAAGTCCATGGACGAAAACGACGAGCAGCGACGACAGCGCATCACTGCACGGGCGGAAGAAATTGTGCGTGGCAAACGCTGCGTCGGGATGCTCGTGGGTGCTACGTGTCCCGTTTGCCTCACGGGCGACGTCGATACGCAGCTGTCCGAGTGTGGCCACTTGATCCATGCCAAGTGCATCAAGCGCTGGATCCAGTCAGGTACTTGTTGTCCTGTCTGCAGAGAAGAGGTTGTGAATGTGGAGGAAGCTTTTACGTCTCCGACCGCTTTAGCAATGACTAAAGACCGTCTTACATCGTCGTCCGAAGCTGGAACTTATCTGCCGGACGACGAAGTGGGAATGCAGACAGAGGACGATGCAGGCTACGAATGGGGCTGGTTCGAGGACTTTGATGAAGGTGACAACGTATCAGACAATGGTTTTCCGACCAAGAGCAGTGACATGGTTTACTCGGCTCGTCGATCACTGCCAACATTTCCAGCCTCGGCCAGCATGCAGTCCCTTACGACGCTCATGCTAAACCGGAAAACGTCAAACTCCTTTGACATGTTTCGGACATTTCCACCTCTTCGTGAGGTCTATGATACACCGTACCATCAGAGCAAGTACTCGTGGATGCGAGTGCTGCCGTCTCACCGTCACATTGCAGCCACGATTCAGATTCGCAGCTTCCGCATCGTAGAAGCCAAGAGCTCCAAGGAGCAACACGCCGAGTACCTCATCGAGATGCAGCTCGACGGCCACTACTTTAGCCGTTGGCGTCGCTTCTCAGAGATTTACCGCTTTGTGTGTTTACTGAACCACAACCAGTTTCGGCAGTCGCTGGCAGCGTGGCAGCCCATTGGGGCCAACAGCCGCTGGTTCAACCGCCTTGAGCTCAGCTACTTGCACAAACGGTGCCGAATGCTCGAGGAGTTTGCCCACACGCTGTTAATCGAGTGCTGGAACGCACACCCGCTGGCCGACCTGATCGAGTGCTAAGACACCGACGTAAATTATAGAGGCAACAAGTTTTGCATGCCATGTAGATAAAGAGTTTCTAGACGATGAAGTAATGAGAGAGAAGAGATGAACATGAACACCTTTCAGATACGGCACATTCTCAGTAGCTGCACTGTAAGAGGATGTCTCTTGAATGCAAAGCTGACAACATCATGAAGCTTGTTTCTATCGTTCATGTTTATTGAATGATACGACAGTATCGATTAAGCACAATGCAGTGCAATGAGGACATGGCGACACATATCTTGTCCTGCAGTCTGCACTAAAGAAGACAGTTGTCACTTCAAGCGTGGGATATCCCATCATCACAATCCACTTGAGCGTATCGCCACTTTTGACGATGAAGGTGTCTCGTCGCATCAACAGTGGTCTTCAAGTTTACATGCATCTGGTCATGATTCTAGCCTTTCCAAACTTCACCGTCGAGCATCCGATGCAATCCATTTTCAAATGCCACGTACGGTATCATCCCACTTTAGCAAGTCCAAACCCACGTACATGGCCGCAAGCAAACGCTGCAATGCACAGCACGCCATTGCACTCGTCCGGTTGTGCTACAGCCAAGATTGTCTATTGCACGTTTCGACTCGGTCACATGGACCCAACTCGAGTTGTCACGTGGTGTCGCAATGCGTCTTTCCAACTCAGAGGTGGACGAACTGCGCAATGTCGAACAAGATGCTGGTCTCACGTCAATCAAACATGATGGCAAAGCCTCCGAAGCTGTGACACTGCAATAAAGATGGTTGATGGATGATGAAGCGAACGCCTTGAACCTGAATCAGTCGGTGATATAGTAACGGAATCTGTGGCCTCGATGTCGTTGATTCATCACGACAAACAACGATCGCCTGCTCTTATGGCAATGGTCTCTTGTTGCACTAGAAGGAGTGCCCTTGAACCAACGCTAGCGTCCAACTGTCGACTTCAATAATTGTCAGTGTGATACGCCATTCAAGGTCAGTTGCAGTATCCTCGAGTCGAAGTCAAGAAGCTCGCCAATTGAGCTTCTAAAGTTATCCATAAGAGAAAGTATAGATGGACTGGGAGTGTCTAAAGAATCAAGCACAAAGCTAGTCTTGTTTCATGTATCCTTGTTGCAATGCCCATGGGTGCATGCTTTTGGTGATGATGACAATGAGGTGCCATCATGTGACCAAAATGAACGGCAATGCATGCCATACTACATGTTAGTTGTCCAGAGCTTCCAGGAGGAGGAGCGATCACGCGGGCGGACACTGCGCGAGCGTCCTTGGCTATCCTGTGCTCTTTCAGATGTAAATGGGTGCTGCAGAGAATTGTTGTGCCTTGCTTCAAGCTCCGCCTGACGCTCCTGCGCCTCGCGAAGCGCTGCACTGAGCTCCTCCATCTTCGACTCGTACGCCAATATCGCGTGCTGTGACTGACTTAGTCGACTCTTCATGCTCAGTACATTGCCTTCCAGCTTTCGGATCTCAATGTCCTGCTGGGCTAGCTCCTCCTCCTTCTGCTCGATTTGTAGCTTTAGACGACTTACATCCGACAGCTTTACAGCATCGAACATCTGATCGTGCACCACACTGCCACGACGCTTGAATTTAAAGCGCACCTCACTCGCCGAAGAATCCGACACTGATCCAGGCGACAGTAGAGGATTGTCAGCCAGATGTCGCTCATACAACTCCGCGGCCGATAATCGTGGATTGCTAGCACTTGCGACAATATCATCATTCTGCATGTGACGTGACTCGAGTAAAGTCATGCGGTTCTCTTCGTCATCAACAGGGATCTGATGAGCCGAGTTTACACTGGTCTGGATAGTTGATTCCACGGTCTTGGCGTTGGAGACAAAAGACTCCACGAGAAAACCAACCAAGATAGGAAGTAAGATGTTGCTCATTGTCATGCGAAATACGAAGAAGAAGACATAGGTCGAGTCCGAGCCGGTCACGGCATGAGCAGCGTCCATAATTGCATCCCATCCAGCAAGGTTAGCCACTCCAAACAATGTCACAAGTACTTGCTCGAACGTCTCTGCCTGAAATTCCTCGCGCTGCCCGTACCAACCAGGCGACATCGATTGTTTGCTAGCCGGAAAGTCTCGCAACGCGATTCCATAGTTAGCCTGGGTGACGATAGCGAACGCGTACATGAAGCTAAAAATCACGAGCAACAGCTGCATAAGCAGCGGCATGATCGCCTTCATTGTGTACAAAATCTCGTGGAACGGTGGAAACAGGTTCAACAACTTTAGAAAGCGCAGCGATCGAACAGCCAGCGCCATGTCGTAAAACACCAGTGAAATGTTCGGCGGCTTGGATACCGTCGTGAGCACGTAGAACAACCAGCCTACACTGACGACAGCCAAGTCCAGCTTGCAGAACGGCCGCGTGAAGAACTCGTTATAACCAAAAGCAAACATCTTTACTAGCACCTCGATAGTGAACAGATTCATCAGGAAGAAACCCAGCAGACGCCAGGAGTGGTTCACAGAGAAGGCCAACTTAATGTTGTTGACTTGCACAGCCTGAACGACGGAGAGGCAAACGAGTATACCGACGACAAACTCTGCCAGCACTACACGATAGCGACCAAAGAGGTAGACCTCGTGTAGCAGCGTACTACGAACCTGTCCGCGAAAGTGACGAATAGAATGGCGCTGGCGCGGCGTGCAAAAGCGGCGCATCAAGCTGTTCGAGAAAAGCGTTGGGCGCTCAAGCTTCACACTGAGCAGCGAGCAGAGCTGATAGAAATCCGTCAAATCCAAAAAGCCTACGTGCTCCATATCCACGGTGTTAAACACGAGCTCAGCATCCGTAGCCGTCCATTTCGGCTTTAGGTATTCGCACACGCTGATCCATGAGTCCAGCGATATGTAGCGCTTGTTGGCTGGGGTCACAAGACTAACATTTGGATCCGGATGAGCAATGTTAAATGATGCGCGCTTGTCGAATGTGCCTAAGAAAAAGCGCGAGGATCCACGGCGGTTAGCGGCGTTCAGCAGAGAGGCATTCGACACGAGACTGATATCACTTGCTGCATTATTCGGACTGCCCGTCACTCCACTGGGGCCTGGTAAATTCGTGTCGTCAAAGTTCACATTTTGAGCCAAGATGTCAAAGGCAGCATACAACGCAGCTTTGCGCTTCTGAAGCCGTTTGTAGAGCATGTTTTCTGTGTTTTTCTTGTACGACTTGTACGAGACAGCAATGGTGAGCTTGAGCAGGAACAAGTTGGTGAGCAGCACAAAGAGCACAAAGAAGATTGCACTCCAGTGCGTCATCTTGTAGTATGGATACATGCTTCGAGCCATATAAGGCATGCAATTGAGAATAAGCAGCATTGTATACATGGAAGATGAGAGCGAATTGAAAAACGTGGCGCTTGGGTCCTCACTTGTATCCGAAAAAATGAGATACCCCACAAGTCCAAAGAAAGCGACAAAGCAGAAACTCAATCCAAGCACAATCAACACTTCTCGTAACGCATGTAAAAAGCTGCTAAAGATGATCCGAATGTTTCTTCCTCGTGCAATAAAGAAAAAAGGTCGTAAAGCTCTTGAAAACCGATAAGGATTCAACCTTGGAAACAAGAGATTCACGACCAAGTCGAGACTTGTAAGAAAGAGCAGAATCATTCGTACCACAGCCCATGGTTGTCTGGAAATGTACTTGCATTGGGTCTCACTGGAGCTCATATACCACCGAATGGCCAGATCCAGTCCAAAGAGAAAAAGACAGACTAAATCCACACCCAAATACTTGAAAAAAGGATGATTCTCATCACCCGGAGTTTCCAGAAATGCCATGGCACACATGAGTGTAACCACGAGAATATACACGAGACGATACGAATCCGAATGGAACAATTCATTTAGAAATAGAGCATCTCGATCCAATCGGTACCCAATTTTACGGCCATGAACCCCATCTTTTAGGAACGCAGCAGCAATTACATATCGATCTTTTTCAAGACATGTACCATAGTCTTTGGCTTCTAAAATTGGGTCGTCGTGAAAATTAATTTGGGTCCTTTGTAAGTCACGAGGTTCATGGGTTGTATCGACCGGATACATGGGTATACCCGACCCAAGACGGGTTTTTTGTTTCTGAAGTAAAGATTGCCGATGTTTTAGAAATTCCGATTGTACTTCACTGGCCATATTTTTGGCAGTACTATTATCATCATTAATATCAGTTAAACGTTTCCATTTTTTCTGATTATCCAATACAGCAGCATCTAAACCAACACGAACCCCACGTCCTTTTGATAATGGAGCACGAGTAGTAGGAGTAACAAGAGGTGTCTTTTCATTATTAAATGGATGCATACTAGAGGATAAGACGATCTGGAATGGATGAATGGATGAATGAAGGCCAGTGGAGGAGAGAGAGAGGTGGAGGATTGGAAGCAGGAGATAGGAATGGATAAAGGGATATTAGAATAAAGAGGTGTATAATGTATAGATGCGACTTAAACTGCTTGTAAATTTGGTTATCCAGTATGAAGAGATATTAGATATTGGAGGTTTTATGATACTTGTGACGTGGTAACGATGGAAAAGCGGAATGACACGAAGACGATTCGTGTCGAGTACACCATTTACCTTTCATCCAGCATAGTATAACTTGCCTTCTATGACTACTTTCTACTAGTGACATCGTTGATGTGAGCTTCTAAAAATTTTGCTCTTTATAATTTATTTACGTAAAAAATACGTCCTTTAGATTTGTTCCTATAATAAAAAAATTGTAACGTGTCCACAATGACGTACAGTATAGACGAACAAGAAGAAGCATCTAAGGGATGAAAGACGGACTCTTATATGTAGAATTGTCTCGTTAAATAACTAAGATAATTTAATCAAGACAATGTATGGAGAGATGTTTCCTAGTTGATACAATTGGGCCTACTTTCTTGTTGTCTTGCTGACGCATTTGTTACGCTTTGAACTTGTGCCTTGAACGTAATCATGACGTTCTTGGAGACGTAAAGCGCGTTCAACAATTTGTTGTCATCATTTTATACGTCATTGTGCTTGCAACGACTATTGGAAGGGACTGTTAGGGAGAAAGTAATGGATACTAGACGCAGACTGACTTGAACATGTGTGTACTTAGTGATCTAATGGCCAATTAGTTGTCCAAGCTTCGAGACTTCTTAGCCTTTATACGTACGCTTAGGTGGACGAAACTACCACCCACACAGTCAATGTAGTTATTAGATACTTACTTTGACGATATGCAGGAACCTGAGTCACATTTGATAGTCGATATGTCTGGCTTCAACTTTTCCACAGCAAAAGAACTGGTGTCAATGTAAGCACCTGATCCGCATCTTATATTAAACATTTTAGAGGCCGCTGGTACTTATGGACGCAATTTGGTGAATGGTTTTGTGTTGCAGCGTTCTTTCGTTTAACAACTTGACATCTTTGGTCGAAGTGATCTTTTCGAGCACTTGTTTGAACCTGTTTCCAATTCCTTGTCACCTGTTCGCACTAACGTGTGTTCGTACGCCTAACTTCCGTAAGTGCATATTGCAATCAACAGGGACCTCAGCAGCAACAAGATCAATACTTTCAAAGTCCGGTAAACTGATCTGGCTGTGTATTTCCAGCCTCGCTACTTTCAAGATGGACAATCTTGTTCAATCTAAAGGTCCGACTAGCACTGCGACGATTGAAACGATCAGCTACGTCCAACTTTGGTTGGTCTCTGATAGAGTATGATATTCCTTAAAATGGCCCTTACGTGAACCACAAATGTAATGCCCCTTGTTTATCGCAGAGACCGTGTGTACGACTGGTTCCTTTAGCAGAAAAAGCGGTACGTGATCTAAGATCTTCCAATTGACGCACTCAATTTTACAGTCTATCATTGTGTTTAATCATCTTTGTGCGATGATTCTGTCAGTGTGGATGGTGGATGGAATTTTTTGTTGTACATCAGCGTACTCGTGAGCGTCTTAATAAGGTCTTTGGTCTTTGGTGATTGATTTTCGTGGGCTACGGCAGTATGAGACATTGACATGGAGCTAAAGAGAACGAACAGTAGTGTGACAAGGTCGACTCTTACAGCTTCAAGACATGGATCATTCAAGGAAGAAAGAACAACTCAACGACGTACGCTTCGACGAAAAGGGTCACTTTGCTCTGGCATTTTTTGCGATGCTATCGGTAGTACATCTCTGGTTTACAAGCAAGCTGTCATGAAAATGGCGACGGATCACTCACAGAACCAAGACCGTGACATAAAGATAGCATTCATGAACATGATTTGGTGTATGCGCAAAGTTGGATCACCCGATGGTGTCGGGTTCCTCGGTATTATGTCGCCAAGTCTATCCAATTTTGCATCCATCGTCGAGTACGGTCCCCGCGGGGGTCTTGCGGTGTACCTGAACGAGAAGAAATCGTCACAAAAGAACTCTCAATCGACATTTACGTGGAATGAGTTCGTCAACAAATCATTCACTAAACTTTCCTTGTCACTACAAATGTTCGAAGCACTCGTGTCTCTACAGAGTTTTGCACCTCCGGTCATTTATGGCCACCTGAAAACGGATTGTATCCTGCTCGGGTCATTGTGAAACGTCAAGGTAGATCAACTAGGCTACACACTGGACACATCTTTGTTATCGACTGAAGACCGGGCATGGCTTGCGTCGGAGGTTTTGACGAGTAATGAGTTTAATGATAAGTCGAATATCTACTCTTTTGAAGTAGTGTTGTCAAGTTGGATCATTGGAAGCTGCGTTTCTCATGCAAAACTCCTCGGTCGCAGACTGTCGATGACGCGGTATTTCTGAAACCCAGAGGCTGTCCATTTGCGATTCAGGAAAGTGGTCAGAGTTGTCTGAACGATAGTCCCACTGAGTGTCCAACAACCATGGAACTTTACGATTCCCGTCAAAAGGTTCGGCATCCAAGTCAAGACCATTCACAGAACTTCTATCAACAAAGAAGTAGACGTCATTATGTTTGAGTTCCATCGTTCAAGCTTGCACCTAATGAAGCATTCCATGGCTTTAAAACAGCATCTTTCAGCATCCGTTCTAAGAAGTGGTTAGACTATACCCGATCCAGCCAACGTCAATTGTTTCAGCGAAGTTGGTGGTCACATAAGCCAAAGGTTGCAATCGATTTACTTGATTATAAATTGAGGTGTCGTCGACCTCGTGATGTGACAAAGGTCCCAGCCATGTGCTGGTTGTGGAAAGTAGTTTTCATAGCAGGACGTTGTTGTAATAAGACACCCTTTTGTAATGAAAGAGTCAGATACTTGCTGGTTTGTCAAGGAGTTCTGACGACTGTAGGTAAAACCTGCCCGTATGACAACATGAGTCAAGCCTGACTCTTTCACCAAAACAATAAGACGAGATGTAGACAGACGAATCTATTGACCCTTTCGTACTTGCAAGATGACTAATAGATCCTAAGCCTCGTTAGCAACGCCGGTTCCTCGTTCAAGTCCAATGGTTATACGGGGCTTGTCACCAACGAAACAGTTGTTTCTTCAGCCCTCAGAGTCCAATAGTGTTGGTAACAGCTAAGGTCCGATCAATTGCTGGAGAGAGTTTCTAGGTGTCTTGCAACCCTTGGAGAGGTGCCGTCCTCTTTCTCAACGTGGAGACACTCCTGCTGTCCAGTGTCTGCGTTGAAACCCATGCCAACCAGACCAGAAAATAGATGAATGAGCCAGATGATGGCGTGTTGTACCCGCTGCGTCTTGCATGCAATCAGTATGGAGGTCAGGTCGACTCCTTTGGCGTATGCAAAGTGCTAGATAAGTCTTATAACGACTGGGCTCCGTGCTAATAGTGATGCCACAGGAATTGCTTCCCCTTAAAACTCTGTAGCTATTGCTCTACTCATGGGTGGTAGGCATCTCAAATACTGACGCAGTGAACAAAATGGCTGGCAGCATACTGACGTTGAGAATCAATACTCTGTTCTCGACGTTGGTTGTGAGCCAAGTCGCTGTCGCCAGTCGCTGTCGCCAGTCGCTGTTGTACGTGTTGTAAGCTCATCTGTTCCGACTGCGGACGATTAGACGAGATTTGACAGCTACGGGATTTTCAAACAAGGTGTCAAAGAGAGAGAGAGAGTGTGTTTCGTGACCATCTGAAGGTGTAGCACCTGTCTTCGATTCAATAAACACGCTGACACGACTATTATCGTGATGCAATGAAAAGAGGTTGTAGGGACCAGTCCTTTAGAGCATGCATAGCACATGGAAGGCTTAGAAAAAAGAGGCAGGCATTCCCTTTGTTGGCTTAGACAATGCAGCTATCGACACCTGAGGATCAGAAGTGAGCAATGCCGTCGCAAACGCCTACACACTTGTCCTCTTTTATCCCAGCCCCCATCTTTCTGATCATTCCAGCCGTATGGCCGTATCTCTCAAGAGAACGGCCAAAGCCTTCTTAAACCCCTAGTGATCTAATCTCATGAACGAAGACCTGGCCTCGTTGTACGATGTCTAGTCTAGTCTAGTCTGGTCACCTTGTCCATTTTGCTCATTCGACAAACCACCTCGCTCGACAACAAACACCTAGCTTAGCTTTTAGTATTCAAACGCCCTTGAGCATCGTTTGATTGAAAATGGTGCAGTGGAAGTTCGTATATGGACTTGCAGCACTGAGTGTCGTGGGATTAATCAAGGGCTCGCCGATGCAGGAAGACGATCAACTCGATGAGAATACGAGAAATGACGAATGCATATCGTTGGGTGCAGAGGATTTTACTGGCGCCGGTAAAGAGATATCAGGTAAACCTATTACGGTCCCATGTGCTCCTGGTGGTTTCCAATCTGCACCACCAAGTCGTCGTCGCTTGGAGGTGTCGGCGAGTGTAGATATAAAGAAACTTGAGGCGTACTTTGGCACTAAGCTCGAAACGGACCTTACGAAACTTTCCTCCAAGTGTGCACGCCATCCGACTCCGTGGCCAAGCGGCTACTGGCCAGCGTACGCTGACAGCATCAACTTTCTATGGAACAAGAAGACAAATATCAGTGCTTCAGAGAAGTACGCAAAAGCTTTTGGACACGACGTCAAGACTTTTATGGATGAGGTCTCATCCACAAGGGGAATCGACTATATGATGAAGATGAAAAAGAAACCATGCACCACTAGAGCTGATTGCAAGGAAGTTGGTGACGACAGCTTTTGCGGCATACGCGCTGGAAAGAAGAAAGGCTACTGCATTCCAAAGTGGCCTGGCATTTGCCACGCTTGGGCGCCTGCCTCCATTTTGGAACCTGAACCAATTTGTCCAGTCGAGCACAATGGCGTGGTATTCGAGCCGTTTGATATCAAAGCCTTGATTACTATGACATACGATGGTTCCAAGATCCCCACTATCTTTACTGGGAGACGCTTTAGTGGTAATGACACAAGGGATAACGGCAAGGACCAATATGGCCGCTTCTTAGACGGAAACCGTCGTGACATCAGTCCAGGTTACTTCCACATTGCCGCTACAAACATCTTGTGCGGTTTCCAATACAGCTTTATAATCGATATTTCCGCTGGCAACGAGGTTTGGAATCAGCCTGTGAGCAGCTTTGAAATCACCCGTATGTCCTGGATGACCCCCACTGACGCTGCCAAGAAATACTTCAAGGTCGACAAGTATCCGTTCAATGACGCCGCTACTAATATGGCCATTGTCACAAGTCGCTTAACCTGGATCGCTGAAACTGGCGAAAACGGGCCTATAGTATCCACGAGCAAGATCAACAAGTACAAGACCACTGCCGAATACGAGTACATTCTTGAGTTAGACGATACGTACCAAATTCTAGGCGGCGAGTGGCTCGGTTTGTCCTCGGAGAACCATCCCGATTTTCTTTGGATTCCTACCAGGAAGCCTGACGACGCTCTCGTAACGCCCGTGGGATTGGTGTACGCAGAAATTAAGAAATTGCTTACAAAATCTATTCAAGGCGACTGTCAGTCGACGTCCACTGATACGCAGAAGCCGGAAACAAATGAACGAGCAAATCCTGTGGCACCACCTAGCTCAAATGCGTCTCCTACTGAGGGTCCCGCGGCGTCAATCAATGTCCCCCTGACCACTCAGCCCCACTCTGAGACCCCTACAGGAGTCTCGTCAGCAGAAGCTCCTACAGATGTCCCTACAGAAGCTTCCCCTGCAGAAGCTCCGTCATCAGAAGACTTCCACGTCATCAGAAGACCTCCCGTCATCAGAAGACCTCCCGTCATCTGAAGCCTCCCCGTCACCAGAAAACTCCCCGTCACCAGAAGCCCCGTCAGTAGAAACGTCCCCTGCAGAAATGCCGTTAGCAGGAACTCCGCCAACAACATGAAGTACGCCAGCAGACATTTCGCCAGCAGGAAATACGCCAACGGACAAGAAAATGCTCCGGTCACTACTTTTTAGATCGAAATCGTGGTCTTTGTTTGTGTTGCGTATCACAAACACGGACATGGTCCCTATCATAAGCCGTGGTCTTCCATCATACATTGAGGCAATACAGATATGTTTGTAGATAAACGATAGTCTACGGTGCACTGACATACTGCTCAAAGCTTATCTGTACGTGGGAACGACTTAAAGACGTGAATTTACGTGTCTGGTCAATACCGTTAGAGTAGTCACCTTGTGCGATGTTATCAGCAAGGCACCGACTGCTGCCAGTCTATAGAGCAAACGTCAGAGCTTCTTCGCTGTGAGTCGGTCTTCAAGCACCACCAAATGAAGTGTGGCGGCGATGATAGACAACAAGCTCTTAATTTCCTCGTCTCGTGTCGCCATAATGGAGGCATACATGAAAGAGGCGATTTCTGAACTTGAATGTAAGCTAGGCAACGCCTAGTTGACCAGCTCACATATTCACACCAAACAAATTTATGTCGGTCGTACTACGCATCTTTAATGACTCCGGACGGGATCCACGCAGAGAATGTCTACCTCCGCCGTTTGAATGCCGAAAGACAAAACGGTTCGATTCGCTGTGTACGTCTCGTGCTGACACCTTAAGACGCTGATCTTTGCCACCCGCTTACTATAGAAAAAAAGACTCTGTCCATTCAAGTCGCGGTCGACGATGACATGTCCTCACAGCCCTTCATGTTGCCAGCGGACTTCAGCTTAAACGGCACAAGTTGCTCGCTGTTGCGAACTGGCAAATTACTTGTGCTGCATACTGTTTTAGCTCCTCATTGTATTGTTTCGAGGTTAACGTTGAATATCGTGCTTTGCTGGATGTACGAGGAAAAGTATCTTGGCGACTTCGCTCACCACATTAAATGGTCGAGATAGCACTTGTAAAGTCCCTAGGACGGCGGTTCGTACAGTCAGACAAGCATAACAAAGCGCCAAAACGCTGGTTTACAGGGCTTCCAAGCACAATTCAAGTCCAAGAAACATAACGTTAAAAGCTTTCACGATACAATTCGGTACGCTGCGTCGGCACAGCTCCAATAATGCTGTAACCTTGCACCACTTCTTGCTAGTCGGTAACGATACATCGTTATAGAACCAGTAAAAAAAGACATTCACGTTCAGGTGTAGATGATACTCTCACAGGATCTTCAGCTGTAGACATGCAGCACCATGTATGTAACAGAACAGCATCGCATGGTGTTTAGACCTCGTCCGAGTCAAGTTCCAGTATTAGTATGTGCTTGTAGGTAACGAGGAATAGACCTCAAACTTTACGAGATATGAGGATCACGATGAGACTGTCTAGTAGTTCCTTATGATTATCTAAGATATGTCTAAGAGGTCAATGTCCTGATCTTCTGCCATGACAATGTCGTTTTCCTCTGCATTAGCTCATTCTGCTGACTCAATCCGACATCCTTCACGAGAGACACTCTAAAAGAGCACGTGAGACTTTTTGACCACATGCAGGGGGCAGGGGCACCTTGAGGCCGAGTACCAAACCGGCTGGCCCGTCTGGGACAGCCGATTTGACTGATCCCTGACATGCAGCTCCGGGTCGAGATCGGAACGGACGGAATCACGTTCTAGGGAAGTTCGCTTTGGAGCCGAAAGTCTCTTTGTACCAGTCTCCACATTCTTCATCCCTTTTTCAAACCATGTTGTCCACAGCTTCGATGTTTCAAAGCATGTGCTGGGTCCGTGTTTATAGTAAAGTTTACTCCCGCTGCATACAAGGAGCAGTGCCTCCAGTTATAATCGTTACCATGACAAGAGTTTATTGTATGCGTTCTCATACTTCTCCGCTCTTAGAATTCGTGCCTGGTTTTTGTTTCGTCGAACTCGACAATGTCTTCGCGTAGGATGGTCTTTGTATTGGTCTAAGCTTGCTACGCCTTTAACTTTCGATGACAGCAATGCCACCACGGTCTTCTTCTCTTAAACGTGCACTGCTCATTTCCTCTTCTGCTCCAGTCTTCGCACATCGCATTCATTTTCAGACCATGAAGCTTTCCAAGTTTGCCAAGCACTCGCTCACTTTCGCCGGTCCATCGCCTATTCAGCACTTGGAACGTCTGTCAAAGACTCTGGGCAATAAGGTTCAGCTGTATGCTAAGCGTGAAGACTGCAATTCCGGTCTTGCTTTCGGTGGTAACAAAACGCGCAAGCTCGAGTACATCATTCCAGAGGCCATCGAGGGAGGCTACGACACGCTCGTGTCCATCGGTGGCATCCAGTCCAACCAGACGCGTCAGGTGGCAGCAGTGGCCGCCCACGTCGGCTTCAAGTGCGTCTTGGTGCAGGAGAATTGGGTCAACTATCCGCCAAAAGAGGCTGCTATCTACGACAACGTTGGTAACATTGAGCTATCCCGTATCCTAGGCGCAGACGTGCGCAGGGATGCTTCGGGCTTTGACATTGGGATTCGTCCGAGTTGGGAGGCAGCCATGGAAGGTGTTAAGAAGGCCGGTGGCAAGCCGTACCCCATTCCAGCCGGCTGCTCGGAGCATCCAAAGGGTGGTTTGGGCTTCGTTGGCTTTGCCGAAGAGGTTCGACAGCAAGAGAAGGAGCTGGGTTTTCAATTCGACTATGTCGTCGTATGTGCTGTAACAGGCAGCACCATGGCTGGCATGGTGGTTGGGTTTGCAGCTGATGGACGGGCGAACAAGGTCATCGGCATTGATGCGTCTGCCACACCCGAAAAGACCCGTGAGCAGGTGCTACGTATCGCCAAGAATACGGCGGATCTGGTCGAGCTAGGACGCGAAATTACTGAAAAGGACGTCGTACTGGACACGCGTTTCGGAGGACCGGAGTACGGATTGCCCAACCAAGGTACATTGGATGCCATTCGACTTTGCGCACGTACTGAGGGCATGTTGACTGATCCGGTGTACGAAGGTAAGTCGATGGATGGAATGATCTCCATGGTGCGCAACGGAGAATTCCCTGAGGGCTCCAAGGTGTTGTATGCCCACTTGGGCGGCGCTCCGGTACTGAGCGCTTATAGTTACTTGTTTAAAGAAGGCTAAACGTTACGGACTTATGCCGAGAGACCAAATATGAGGCGTGTGCTACCATTCATAGCTGTTACCCCACGTGTTCTATCAACGTCTTGTCAGCTTGACTCCAATACGACGTAGCCACATTTCTCGACATCATCCCCACGCATGGAGTCCCTCTTTACCTTTACATGAGTTCATCACGACGCACGTTAATTTTACCGTGTCTGGCTGTAGTCCTTGTAGCAAATGCCGACAGCGGACGGCATTTGCTCACTGCCAGGTAAACGGCACATTTGAATCATTGCGTTTGGAAGAGATCCAGGTAGTGTTGACATCCACTGTCTGAGAACTTCTAGAAAACTTGCAGTTTTTTTGGGATAGCTTATATGTCTGGTCTCCAAGACAGGTACCATGAACGCAGAACGGTTGACAAGATCGTAGGTTCTTTGCAGCATACCCACAAGCTATAAAGAGAACAGTCAGCCTTTCTCCATTCTTCCCGTCTGACACATTCGGCTGTCGATTCTGGCATCTGCTCCAGAACAGAAAACGTGTTAGTATATTCCGTACCGCATCCATTTGTGTGTGCTTTATATTAAGGTAATGCACGACTATCGGAGGCATTCATATTAACAGGCTGTCTTCGTGATCGACTTGACGATGATGACGACGAAGAACGAGACTGTTTGGACCCAAACGATCGCGCATCGGGGGACACGAACGAAGATGCATGGGAGCTGCTTTGTAGCTCCTCGATTTTTCGATCGCGCTGGCAACCAACATGGAGGGAGATAATTAGGCAAAGGGCTCAGAATGCGGTCGGTACAAAGCGTACCTGCTCAATTTCGCGCTCATATTTCGCCGCAAATCGCTTGAACTTGCTACGTGATCGCTCCAATTGCTGTGAACATGTACAAGTGGATTATTACTGACTCGCAAGTAGAACTATAAAGTCAACAATTTGGCTAAGTACCTTGATGGTGTCGTCTTGCTGAATCAACCGATCTTCCAGCTCTTGGCACTTCATTTGGGCTTCTTCAAGAGCATGGAGGGGCAGGTATGAGGACGTACTGGATGATTTTCTACCAGATTCCGGAGTACTTTCAATAGCATTCGATGACGGTGATATAGCTGAAGGTTGGGACAAATGCTTTCTCTGTGCACTGCTCGTTTCATGAGGCGTCTGATCGATAGACGCTGGTGAGTGGTTGAACTCGGACATGTTCATTTCAGCCACGGAAACTGGCACTTGACACTGATGATAAGCTTGAATTTCTGCAACCATCGCATTTCGTTGCTCTTCCAGATTCGAAATCATGTCTTCGTTTGTTGCAATTTTTTGACGGAGAGTAGAGGCAACCTCTTCAAGGCTTCGCCGCCGTGACTGCTCGTCGTGCAACTTATCCTGTAGGGATTTGAGTTCGTACTTGCAATTGCTCAATTTTGCCTCTAGATGCACGATTCGCTGTGACACGGCAGCATTCTCAGCCTGGGCTCCATAACGCTGAGCAGAGATCTCAGTCGAAACCTGTTTTTGGGTGTCCAGCTCATGCGCAAGCTGCTGCATTCGCGTCTGAAGGTCATCTTGTTTTCCCTCACTTTTCTGAAGCTTTTCCGTAAGAAAACTTACTTGATCACGATACGTAGCTGCTTCGGTCGACACGATCATGTTCTTTTCCCTCAGTATTTGGAGCTGGTTGTCAAGCGTAGCGACTTGCTTCCTCAACGATTCATTCACGACGCTAAGCTCTTCTTGTAGCGCAGATATCTCCGTCCGTGCTTTTTGCATTCCTTCGTGTTCCTGGATCAATGATCGGTACGTATGGCGCAGGTCCTCCAACTCAATCTGCAGTGTGTCTCTTTCCCGCTCAATTTCTCGTGTAGTCTGCTTCATGGTTTTAGTGGACTGAGAATGGGAGTGCTTCATTCGTCGCAGCCGGTTGCATTCTTCGCTAATTGCTTGGTTTTCGACCGTCATATTCTCCAAGTCTTGTGCGAGTGCCGCCAGCTCGGCAGTGTGCACTCCCTTCAAATGTTCTAGTCGGTCAATCTCGTTTTCAAGTGTCGAGCAGTGAGATTGCATCTTGTCAAGCTTGTCTTCGGATTCGTTCAGCTTGTTCACCAAATTGCTCATTTGATCTTGGAGCCCAGTAGCATCAGATTTCTTTGCCTGCACGGCCTTACGAAGCTTGCTGGCCTCCTTTTCAATTTCGTGATATTTCTCGGTCAAGACATCCAGCTGATCATTCACAACATCCTTTTCACTGTCCAGTGTTCGTGTCAGCTTCTTTAGCGACGTGATCTCAATATTTTTCGCCGAGATTTCGCTATTCAGAGAGCTTACCTTAGCATTTAGGTCATTCGTTTCTTGTTCAAACCGCTGGATCCGTTGCTGCTGCTGCTTCGCTTGAAAACCCATTTGGTCTCGAGACGACTCCATTTGCTCCATCAGCAACTTCGCGTTTTCAAGACCTTCAGTTTTCTCAGTCAATGCACGATCTTTTGCTTGAAGCTCAGCTCGTAACTGCTTTAACGCAATCTCATGTGCGCGTTTTGTCTCCTTCGTCTGCAAAAGCTCATCTTGAAGCAGAACGAGTTGCGTCTGGACGCTTTTGTGACTCGCCTTTTCTTGTTCTAGTCGTGTTTCTAAATGATGTGAGTTGTTTTGTCTCAGCTTCAACTCGCTTTGCAGTTGTCGGACCTGGTTTTTTAAATCGCTAACGGAACTCTGGCTAAACTGAAGCGCGTTTTGGCCAGACGAGAGCGATAGTTGTTGAGCCTGGGCCTCGTTCGACATTTTTTCAAATTCATTTTGATAATGGTTCCACGTCTGACGGGCATTGCGCAGCTCCACCATTGCGTTGTCGTAGTTATTCTGCAGCTCTGCCTTCTCCTTCTCTAGCGTTAAGCATTTCTTGTTCGCTACTGCAGCTTCTGCTTGCAACCTTTTGATTTGATCCGACAGCCGTTTCGTGTGCAGATCGTCATTTTCCACTCGACTTTTCAAGCTAGTGATTTGGTCGCGCAGCTCGTCTACGGTTCGTTTAAGTGTTAATGCATCATTCTGAGCGACCAGCTTCTCGTTCACAGTCTCTTCAGCACGACTCAACATGAACTGTGCTTGGCTCAGCTTGTCTGTGAGATCGCAAATCTTTTCTTGGCTCTCTTCTAGTTGACTATGTAAATAAGAAGACTCACGCTTTTCCGTCTCCAGTATGGATTCAAGATTGCTCTGCAACTTTGATGCCGCGTTAGCTTTCTCCAGTAGCTTCTCTTTTTCACGCTCAGTCTCTTGAATTACACCCTTGGCTTTCTGCAAGTCTTCCTCGAGATTGACAACCTGAAGCATCAGCTCTTCCTTCTCCCGGCGACGTTCTTCTTCCAGTCGTTTCACTTTTTGTGTAAACACTGCCTCCCTGTCATCAAGAGCTCCATCTTCACCATCCGATTTACCCTTCAGTGCTTTCAGTCTGTCAAGCTTTCCATTCAAACGCTCCATCTCTTCCTCTTGAATCAATCTTGCATTACTCAACGATCGGCATTCATCGTCGCGCTGGGATAGCAGTTTGCTCATTGACCTTAAATCTCGATGTAGTGAGGCATTTTTCTCGCTTTCCAAAGCGTGATTGTCCTCACTCTGACTGAGGAATTCACGCAGCTTTTCCAGCTCACGGGTGTTTGCATCAAGAGAAGCTCGAGTGTCTTCCAGCGACTGTTTCAATTCGGTTTTTTCCGCAGTGAGCTTCTTTAACTTTGCTTCAGCATGAGCTAAGTCGCTAGTAAGCACGCAATTGTGAGAATTCGCATTCGCAAGGGCGTTCGTATACGATTTTTTATCATAGTGCATCACACGAAGAGCATCTTCAAGGCGGTCCTTGTGTGCCGTAAGCGTTTGCACCTGCTCCTTCAATGATGCTACATTTGCATAATCTTCTGCTTCTGGACCACTGCAGGCGGATATGAGGTTGCACGGAATTGGAGAGCCGTTTGACGCGTGTTGCGAGTCTTTACATCGTGAGTGCTCTTCCTCCAAATCATTATATTTAGCCTGCAGCGCTCTCAGCTCCTTAACAAAATGGTCTTGTTCCAGCTCAGCTTGCCTAGAAACAAACTCACTCCATCAGTTCCAAGTAATACCACAAACGCACTCAAGCAACTCACAAACGTACTGCAGCTTCTCCGCGATACCGCTGTTTCGACAAATTAGCTCTGTAGCATCCTTCAGTCGACTTTCATACTTGACCACCTGGTCATTGAGTAACTTCACCTGGCTGCTTAGCTGTTTGACGTGTAACTCAGACGCCTTCTGCTTTAAATTCGTCTGATCCTGCTCTTCCAGATCTTGGTCGTCCTCTCTCAAAAACTTTGACAATCTGCTGATCTCCTGTTCCCGTCGGATCAATTTGTCATGAAACTCGTCACACTGGCCTTGAAGCTTGGCATTTTCCGTCGTTAGCTCTGTCAATTGCTCCTGCATGCCTTTTATCACTTGTACGTGCTGTTCCGAGATGTTTTGCATACTTGTCGTCTCTAGACAGTGACTATCGAGTCTCTGTAGTGCCTTCTGTGACGTATGACAGTCCTTTGTTTCTTCCATGGACGTCAAGCCAGTTACCAAAAGGTTTTCCAGCTGTGCTTGCACTTTAGTCACTTGGTCGTCCTGCAATATGAAAAAATCACGTCAAATGTGACGTTATTATGTTGAAAAAAAAGAAAAGTGAGCTACTTTGTTGTTTTTACCGACTTTTTCATGACTTTGTTGCATCTGGTGACCATCGAAGAGCTGCAGTTTCTTCATGTCGTCATGTAGTTCCTCAAGATGCATCTTCCAGGCTTTTTCTTTCTCTATGAGAGTCTCTTCCTGGTGTATAAGTTCCAAATGTAACTGCCACATTATATAGGGGGGATCAGATCAATTCAAGACGTCTCTTTTTTTCAACGTCCTCTCTTGACCTACAGTGTTATTCTCCTGTAAGAGCTGAGCATTCTCGTTGCGTAATGGTAGTATAATCTGCGACAGCTCAAGTGCTTCTTGTTGTGTCTTCTCTAGCTTCATTTCTGTTTCTTTTCTTGCTTCATTTGCTGCGTTTAAATCGTCCAACAAGTGGCGCACGAGAGGAACGCTCTCGATGTCCATGGGCTGCATAGATAGAGGCTAATGAGACGACATGATTACATACGTTAGAGCAAAGACAAGTGCAGTACCTCACTATAGGACATGGCATGCAGTTGCATCTGCAACTCGTCCAAGCTAGACACGTCCACGCCCGTCGTCATGTCTTTACTAGCAGTGGCAGGGGCCATTTTTAGTGCGGTAGTCACTCAAGTGAGGGGAAATCTACACAATTACGAGGATTTGAAGCGAGCATTAACACAATTGGGTGATGGATTCTGATGGAGATTCTCAAAGAATCCAAGCTTTTGGCTGTACGGATCCGTGTATGACTGATACAGGAATACACAAATTGCTTGATTGACAGTCCGTCACTCCTGATCAAGAACAATCAAAGAATAGAGGGTCGTAGAGGTCTTTTCGCTGCGATCATCGAAGCAGGACTGAGGTATGAGGAATTGCAATCAATCGATTGTTGCAACACATGGACTCCGATTGATGGCTCAATTGACTAAAGCTCTCGTGTTTAACGGCTCGATTCCTCACTTTGAGATTCTAGCTCAAGTTATCAGTCATGGGAAACACTTTCGGCTGCTACAAGATTAACAAATTGGATGCAGTCACGTTGTCACCAACAAGCGATGGAACTGATCCATTTACAAATTTTGAGCTAAGCGACAAGGAGTATGCAGAATCGGCCAACAAGTCTGCTAGAGAAAGCGACAAGCCTTATCTTACTGCAGGTAAACAGGAGATCGTCATTGCCAGCAAGACTAAATCTCCAGTCGATCAAATGGCACCACTGGATTCCGATGAGGGAGTCACGTTTGACGAGGAAAGTGGTCACGTTTGACGTGGAAAGTGGTCACTGATCAACTGGCTGGTAGTCAACGGGAAGTGTCGGATCTGTTCAACGATTATCGAGGCTAGAATTAAAAGCAATGCACGAAGACCTTGTTCGCTTGTTTCTTTCGTATCAGCAGATACAATCTTTTTGTTCACGTCGCTCTACAGAGCTGATCTATTAATTGTAGGAGCATGCACTTTTTAGGGCATTCTGCTTGTCAATGACCTCGAGGATTACAAGCAGAACCCGACTACGACATTGCGTTGGATAGAAAAGGCTGCAGTACATCCAGGACTCGCACAAACACGAGTACGAGCCGATAGTTAGCCTGTTAGGGAAATTCAGGTACTAGCTAGCAACTTTGTGGCTCAGATTGATGAACAAGAGATCGGAAAATGTGCATGCGGTGATGAAAAACGTCAGAGGGGCTACTTGTGACTATTCCTGCACTTTTGTATACTGTTGCTTCGATACGCTTTAAGCCTCTATCAGAAAAAAAGCCGCCACCACTTGATAGTCGTGCCCTAAAGGTTCAAACAGGCGACGAAGAAGGAGAAGGCCAAAACTACCCACCGAAGTTTTTCAGCTCTAAGACGTAGAAAACGACGCAACAGGTCGGCAATTGCTCGAGCATTCTTGACTTTCTCAGGTATGACGCTTTAGCATAGTGGTGCAGTGTCGTACTAGAGGCAATACAAGCTATGTCAGGCTCTGACAGTTTGACCAACAGATCATGGACGCCTGACAACTGGTAGCCGTCAGACACCTATCTGATTATCGATGATGATCGTGAAAACAAGCACTTAATCGATCTACCAGCGCCTGCTGCAACAGAACACACGTGCTGACAACCCTGCTTTTACTCTCGAGAATCGGATTTGCCTGCCACCACCACCAAGAATCACAACAACTTTGGCGTCACGCAGACGTCACTCAGTACTGGAAGAAAAGGAGGGCTTAGAAAAAATATCATTTTTAACCCCAGAATGTCCCGTCACCAAAAGTATGGTTACGCAGTAACAAGTACTTCATTGTACAATGGCTGCATACGTTGCAAAGCTATCACCCAAGTTGCCTGGGGTGGGCAGTAAGTATTCAACTTACTGCCCACTTTTTTAGTTGACATAATTTATAGCACATCTAAAAAGCGAAAAATGGACAGCTAATCGGCGTGTCTTGTCGACGGCTATCCTTTTATGACTGGAACAAAAGTTGTTCTCGTAGTTTGATTCTTCCTCTCTAAACTTTGCCCGTCTCAGAGCTCGGCAACGTCGTGATCTGAGTGTTTTACGTTGGATGCAAGAATTGTCTGATATCAATGACGTTTTAGGACATTGACGCAGCCGTACACGAGTCACGCGTGGTTGATACTCCGCAAGAAAAGGACTCATCTGATTTCAGAGGCTACAGCCAAATCTTACGGATATCTGTAGATTCTTAATTTGTTTGTTTCAGATTAAGCTATTTAGAACTTACAGATAAGGAAAAGGAATCGAGTTTTTACTCATAATTCACAGTGAAAAAAATGTTGTATTGTTTACGTAAATTGTACACTGTACCACTCCGCGAGAAAATTGTCAAGAGTTGTAACCAGGTACAGTGTACCCTTTGTAATTATCTAATTTTTGTCGCTAATAGATTGATATCCGAGCCAAGGGAATACTAATGGATTCGGTACGCGCCAAGCACGCGGCGGAGCTGGAGGCCAAGCGAAAAAAGCTAGAAGAGATACGTAAACGGAAAGCTGCTATCCGAGCCGCAGAGGAATCATCATCGGCTTCCGAGAGTGTAAACGAGGCCATCGGGCAACAGGAAAATAAGTTTGACGATTTTATCCAGAATATTTTGAAAACATCTGTGGAGAAAGAAATATCCAACGACGATGACGAGCATGATGTTAAAGGGGGAGAAAGTCATACAGTGAGTACTACGCTGTCTTTAGCTGAGAAGTTATCGTCGCTTTCCACTGTGAGCAATGTGGCCGAGATGCACATCCAACCGACACTCCTGGAGACGTATACGAAGCACACAGAGACGGATATTACGTTGGAACATGAGATAATTGTCAAGGACGATGGGGTGACTGATATGGATGTGGATAATATGGAGGGATATTCTCATCAACATTCCGAAAATATAGACGGCTCGACGATCCGAACGTCCTCTCCACAAAGTCGAAACGTGATAATTGATACTTTAGAAATAGCCCCTACGAACAGCACGACGACTGTCTTATCAGTTGAAGATAGGACTACTTTATTGCAGTCAGATGTCATGGAGGCATTTTTGGACAAGGCGTCGCGGGTCATTGAACGAGCTTTGAACTCGTCAACTAAGTTTGACATTATGATTGACTATGGGGAAAATGTGGAGCAAGATGGAGCTGTGGAGGAGGCCATGGAGTTATTGAAGCAACAACATGTCTTTGGGGACGATAAGTGGTCTAAACATAGAGCAGTGACCGATATTGATGTGTCACCGTTTTACCCGGAATTGACACTCGTCGCCTATACAGCACGCAACTTTTTGGAGGAGAAAACTCAGGACATGTCGTCGCAGTGGGATACAATGGGTAACTCACCGACAATGCCACTGACGGAGGTAGCGGCGATTACGGAAGGTGTGGTGCTTTTGTGGTCCACCGCACTGCCCGGGCGACCAGAGTACCGGTTTACATGCCATTCACAGGTAACTAGTGCCTGTTTTAACCCGTTTGATCGTCATGTTATTGTTGGAGGCACGTACTCGGGTCAGATTGTGGTCTGGGACACACGTGCAAAGAGTGTACCTGTTCAGAAGACGGCTTTGTCGGCGTTTAGCCACACCCACCCAATCTACGCCATGGCTGTTGCGGGAACGAAGAACTCGTACACGTAAGTGCAGTATGTGTGTTGCTGTGCGCTCAAAGGATGTGTACTAACGTACGTGGATGAATGTTGTAGCTTGATTTCGGCAAGCACCGACGGTCGCGTATGCATATGGGATATTGACCATTTGCAAAAGCCGCTGGATATGCTGGATTTACGAATCTCGCTCTCTATTGTGTCCAACTACACCTCCGTAAATGCCTCTGACAAAAAAATGGAAGCTTCTGTGACCTCTTTTGCAGTGTTAGGCAAGGAGATCAAGGAACTGTTTGTTGGAACGGAGGCAGGCAAACTGTACTCGACAAAAGTTGACCAACAGAAGAAAAAGCCCGGTGCTGGAGAGGACAACAGCGGTAACGATACTGACACGAGAAACCGAAACAATCTGCTTGGCAGCAGCACCGGCGACCTCGTTCGCGAGGTTATTGTCGAGACAGTCTCGAAAAAAGGTTCTCATTTCGGCCCCGTCACAGCTATGCACTTCAACCCGCTGCTACCAATGCACCATGACAGTCTCTTGCTCACGTGCTCGCTGGACTCAACGGTCAAGCTCTGGAGTAGTGAACACCCCGAGTCCCCGGTGCTCTCGTTTGAGCCTTCAAGCGAATACATTAGCGACGTGCGATGGTCATCAGTGCACCCTGCTCTGTTTGCAGTTGCTGACAGCAGTGGTACTGTGAGTATTTGGAACATTCTAAAAGACGTTGAGGTGCCTGTAGTCTCAGAGAAGATCAGTGAGAAGTCACTAAATAAGGTGCGGTGGAGCACTGACGGCAAGAGCGTGATTACTGGTGACGCCAATGGCACGTCGTACATTTATGGGGTGCCCTCAGTTGTAAGTATTCCTGGTAGTTTGCGTCTGCATTGTGGCTGGCTGACCTTTTACTGTGTGATGTCATTGCAGATCGCACTGCCTCAGCAGGATGACCTGTCTCTTTTAGAAGACAAGATCGCAACCTTCAGTGCGGCGGCGGCACTGTTAAAGCCATAAGCGCAATTTTTCGTGCCTTTTCTTGGTAGACGCGTAGATACAACACACTTCGTAGGTCGATGGTGTTGGCTTAAGAGGAATGTGACGTCCACTGTTATGATTCACGTCACTTCGAAGTTAATGTACTATTGCATTTTTAGGGAAGCGAGTGGAAACGCCTGAGAGTTGTTGTACTTGCGGCACCATTTCTCAAACGCCTCTCGAACTGGTGTTATCTAACACAGATCCACATGTCAGTGAGTTTATCACAAGAACAACGACAGCGGAGTGAAGTGACACACGTACCAGACGTGATTCTTTCACGAAAATTCGGATAGTGTATTCTTCAAATTTTCGAGGGCTAAACATTTCATACGCACACTCGGGCAAGCGGAAGCACCTGGAGCTTGCCGTTGCATTTTTCGAGTAGAAACGGACGTGCTGGAGAGGATCTTCCTTTCCTTTGCCGTAGTGGACACGCATGAAGTCTAGAATGACCGCATCTTTTTCACTAATCAGTGACCGACGCGCCGAGCACCGCAGGACTTCGTTCAAAAGCATGTCCACCGATTTCTGCTGCGAATGGTCCGTCAACGCTGTTTTGCCGACAAAGTCGTAATACGGTTTCGAGAAAATGCGATTCAATATCGACCTGGCCTCCGATAGTTCGGCACCATCGCTCTCCTGAATTTTTAGTAGCACACGGTCGTCGAAGTGCTGATATGCCTCCATCGAGCACATGACCTCCGAGATCCGCTGTCCTTTGATTTTCAAGTGGTCGTTTGCTGAGATCAGAAGGTCGCAAAGCATATAATCGATAGCACGAACTCCTCTGTGCTGGTATACAGATTGGTGAAGCTCGTAGCGTGTGCGGAAAGCCTGCATGATCTGTCCCGCCAACTTTTCAGGAAAGCAAATTACCTTATTTTCGTTGGGGTCTTCGCAATCGACCAGCACCCGAGCGTTTCGAATTAGCAAATCCGTATCACACGACATTTTGGCCCCTGTATAAAGCGAGTCACGCATGAAATAGTCCAGCTTATCCACGTCCAAGCCACTGTGAGCATTGTTGACGATGTCGTACAAAAATCTCTGATCTCGAGACGGCCGTCCGCATAAAACGCCGTTGGAGTCTGGCAACGGTCCACCCCAAATTAGCTCCTTGATGAACACCACATCTTGCTGGGTCAAGCCATACTTCTCGACCGAGATATTGTTCTGTGACAGTAGAAAGTCAAACATGTCCACTGATCCTTGTTCATGTGACCATTTGAACGCCTCATCAATAATTTTTTTCTTCCGTAGTTGGTCCAAGAATAGCCCATCAAAGACGTGGCTAAATGGTCCGTGACCCAGATCATGACACAATCCCGCAATCTTGATACACATCACGTCCTCCTTTGTAATTAACAGCCATGGCTGATGCGACCGAATACTTTCAATCATCTTTTCAGCAAAATACGCGACTCCAAGGCAATGTTCAAAACGAGAGTGTGTTGCTCCAATGTACACAAAATTGGCAGCCCCAAGTTGATGCAAGTTCCGAAGCCGCTGGAACTATCACAATAGACCAAGAGACCATTCAAATAACAATAGCCTCGTTTCAAAACTATGTTGACCATCTGTACCTGCAGTGTATCAATGATCCTCATACAAATGGGCTCAAACGTCATGAGTCCGTGAACACTGTCCTTAATCTATACATAACAGGATCATATCAATGTCATTTTCATCTCCTATCTCACATAATTGTACATCTTGTTTCCTACTTCTTTTCTTTCGTTTAATTTGGTTGTTTTTTGGTCAATTTCTCGTGTCTTATGCTCGACTTGATCCCAATCCACGTCCTCCTCCACGACAACTACGTTCTTCCTCATCCTCTCTTTCGTCTCTAAGCGTATCAACACATCAGCATCATCACTTGTAACCTCAGTATCACCCCTTTTCGTTTTAAAACCTAATCTTTCTTCGTCCGCATCTTCTACGTTGTCTCTGTTCAATGGATCGCGCTGCTTCTTTCGAGCTACTATTGCCTTTGTTTCCTCTGCTACCTGCAGCTTCTGACGCTTTGTGTATGGCTGTCGCTGCCGCCCAAAGGCCGTCCAGAGCGTGTCCTGCTTCTTGCTCATGTGTCAGAAGAGTGCGGAATGCCGTCTTATACAAACGCCAAGTATTCTCTGGTGATGTTTCCTTTCGTACTTAGTATGACAAAGAGACAATCACTCTCTTCAACTTCAACTCGTATGGAATGACATTTGCTCCTTTATGCAGGCAGTAACATAATCATTGCGCTTCATTAAGCTTTTGATCCACTGCGTCTGATAGTACAAAGCAATGTACTAAGTCATCTGATGGTGAATTGTGTTGGCTGATTGAGAGCTATCTAACAGTAAATAGCTTCTAATCAGTGAGGTGACTTTCTGACAGAATATCAATGTGAGCTGCGATTTCTCTAGAACACGTGACTTCCTTTGGAGGTGGCTTTTGATACGTGCTTATTAAGCACGTAACTACAGACCGCTTCAAAAACAACTGAACTAGTCGTGTTTTATTGACTTCATTTTGGTCGGTGTGGGAGCGTTGCTTTGCAGACACTATTGACCTTTTCAAACCTTCTGTCGGCGCAACTATGAAACGAACAGAATCATTTGCCTCTTCTCGATTATTTAGAACAGGACATGCATGTACAAATAGCATTTGTCAACAAGCGGGTTTATGGGTAACTAGTAAATTATACGATACAGGTTGCACGAAGTCTACACTTATTTAGAAATTGAAGCCACGCTGGGCATTAAACTATAGACTGAAATTGACGAAATGAGGCGTCGATGTGAAGGCGCTGAACGTAAAGCGTGCCAGCTGTTATATCTTCTTTAAACATATACCTGGGCGAGATCTTCATTACAGCTGATCTCTGCATAACGTGTAATTTATTTACTGACAGACGCGCTGTCAAAAAATAAATTACATGTTATGATATACAATACTACTTTTAAAAACCGAGACACTAGAAAGTACTATTTTTTGCTAATATTACTCGCTATAAGGAGTTCTGTGCAGATAAAAACTCGACTCACTTGACAATTTTCGTGCACCATGAAGCACCTGCTGCAGCTCTTGGGTACGAATTTTTTTCAACAATTGCAATGTACGACTAGTCATTTAAACTGCATACGTTGATCAATTGTAGTGGTTCTACTTGCTGTAGTTTTGGTACCGTTGATATGGTACACGACGCTCATGCCCCGATGGCTTACGCAGTCTGGTGAACGAAATGAGACCGTCTACTACTCTCAGGGCATGGGACTATGGCTTAATTATACGGAACATGTGGGTGATCCGAGATTCGATCCAGGTAATTCTCTATGGGTACCACCTCAAGAGAGCGGAGTGGATACTTACAGTATACAATGGTACAGTGCAAAAAAATCATGTCCGGCTAAAGTTGTGTGCGTACAATTTCTGTGACATAGTAATAAGTATTATTAATATTGTTTCTTGTTTCTGATTGGTGATAGTTCATTGCAGCAGTCTTTCTGTACCAGAGCAGTAGGAGAGCTACATAAACAATACTGTCAAGTGATGGACGTGTATTGTGGTACAGCAATGACTTTGTTGCAATTGATGCTCTCGGTAATAGCTGGCGTAGCTTTGGTGGTAGTAGTTTGGGCCATTCACCTTATTACTACGACCCACTGCACCATTGCAGACTTGTATCTCACGCACTTGTGCGTGCTCAACGGTGTCGGCTGTTTGGTGGCAGCGATGGTTTGGTATTTTTTCGTGTTCCGACTCATTCTCAGCTCGACATTCTACCAAGACCAGTCGAATCGCTGCTCGGAGAATGATACTGGTAGAACGTGCTGGCAAATTGGACTCTGTGTCTACTTGCTGATTGCTGGAGGAATTTTTTATCCGTTGCTGGCAATGCTCGTAATTTCACATGTGGACAACAAGTTCAAACGCTTCCAACGGTTGTTACGTCAAATGTACGAGACAGTAGCAGTGATAGAAGCACCACCACCAGTAGTAGACATGAAGACACACGTGCAAGCGAATGACACGCTGCATTCGACGGAGGTGGCACTAGATTTCGAAGAATACCTTGAGTCGACGAAACTGGCACCATTGAAGAAACACCCTTCTGCTGTACTCTTAATGAATGCCTCTAAGAAAGATAGCGAGAAGAAGAAAAATGAGTCCAGCACAAAGCAGTATGCAGAGGTATAATATTAGCGGCGCACGCGCGCGAATAAAAAGCAGATATCGATGGTCAAGGTAAACTCCCTACTATGGAGTTGTATTATAAACGATTTGTCTCGAGCGGCTAAGTATTGTCCCGGTTCTCACAGTTTTGGGCTCTTCCACTTGAAGTCGGTGAGGTTTCTCTTGCAGAAACATCCCATGACTATTTCAATCGTGGCATCAGTATCGACGATGGTAGCATTATTTTGAGAGTCAAGGATTTTCAGTCGAAGACCCATCTTTTGCCGTATGTTCACCCATAAAGGCGTCATTGACGCAAATTTCTTCGGTAATATGGCGCTGCGGATGTTTAATGGTACATGCCAGTTTACCTTCACGTTCGATACTCAGACACATTACGATGTCCCAATAGACTTTGAACTTGACTTTCTCGAAGTGTTTGCGCACCTGCTTCGAGACCCGAGAGATCGATGTGCTATTTTATAAGGAGGGAAGACTTGTACTATGGATTCTCTGTCAGGCTTGCGATATATGTGGTCTTGTATCCATCGCGAAATGGGTGAATCGCCCCTGATGATAGCATAGCAGTATCCTAACGGCTCGGCAAATTACGCCATCCTGGTGCCGCAAAGCGTCCACAAGCTTGGCGTATCTTATCTCCATAATACTCTCAGGATTCAAGCCACGGCATTTCATATCTGTCCATGCAGGTACGTGAGTGCCTCGATGCAATACGCAGCGTAAAACCTTGCGTCACGCTGGGAATGCAAGATCGGGAGTTCTGAAGGTGTCCGAATACACCGGAAGAGTTTGCCACCAACCAGGAGCGGCTCTGTCACGAGGTAATTTCTTCTCATCATGTATGGTGGCGTAGCACTTGAGAAAGAACTTGCGAGCTAACTGCATCAACAGCTTTTCTCGCTGTAAATGTGGTGCGTCTGACCAAGCTTTCCCAATCATGAATTCCACGGCAACAAATCTTCCTGTTGGTACGTGCTCTACCATGTACACTATGCCGAAGGATCATATGATAATAGCACACAATGTACTTAAGGTAGGGCAAAATGATACTGAACGGTTTGTCGCATCTGTCTGCCGAAGCATGCACGTCATCCTTGAACAGCCAGAACCTTGAACCTTCTTCAGCTCCAGGATGTGATGAGTCGACATCGAGGTGCCAAACGACTCCGTCGATACGAACTCAAATTGTGCTGAAAAACGCAAATGCAAAGCACTCCACTTTCGTGCAGTCCAACCGGTTTCTGCTGACGCTGATCCAAGATAGCCAACTCACCAAACGAGCTAAAGGAAGAAGTGGTGAAGGTCACCATTGCTCAACGGGACCGGAGACGGTACATCATTGGAAGGTATCGGAGCTGCTACAATATCGGAAGGATAAACGAGGCAACGTATAGAATGAACTTTACAGGGGCAGTGGGGCCGAGTTAATCGAATGAGGACCATACAACCATGCATAACGGACTTGTAGAACTTGTCGCCGTCTCACTTTTGTTCGCTTGCCATGATGCAAGCTGTAGAGAGGAAGTCGGCGGCACTGTGACAAAAGGATTCTGACATTGTTTGAATTGTTATCTTTTTCGTGCTAGCATGATGAACTAGTTGTTCTTGTTCTCCATCACTCTTGTCCAATCAATCACCCATCCACGCACCTGTCCAATCAATCACTCAACTGATCCTCAAACGCCTTTCTAAGTCGTCAGCCGTTTCCTCAACTGTAACTTCAACCGTGCCTTTTTCTAACACTCCTCCTCGGCTACGACTTACCTTTATAACCGAGGCTGATCATCTCACACAGCGCCGCGAGCTTAGCTGCATCCAGCGCCTTCGTCAAAAGATCCGCGAGTTGTTGCTCCGAGCGGACGTACTGCGACACGATGATCCCGCGTCGAACGAAGTCGCACACGAACTTCGTGCGAACATCGATGTGCTTGGCCTTGAGAGATGACGCCTCGCCTGCCAGCTGCTTCAGTGCCGCCTGATTGTCGACGTGGAGTACCATCGGTAGCGCCGGCGGCTTACCGATCTCGGTTAGCATCTCCCTGATACCAAGAATCTCGCGCGCCTGCTCCGATGCAGCGACGAACTCCGCTTCCATCATCGAGAGCGAGACGCCGCCTTGCTTCTTCAACGTCCAGCTGATCGGCATGCCGTTCAGGCGGATGATGCCGCCAGTCAAGGATTCCGGTAAGTCTTTTCCGCCGCAAAGTCGGGGTCCGAGTACGCCTCGAGCTGGATCTTGCCGTCGAGGTGCTTCGCTGGTTCCATTCGAAGCTTGTAGTCACGCGTCCCGTTCAGGTACCGCGCGATGCGTTTGGCAAGCTTCATATCGTGGAGTCGCGGCTGATGAGTCTGACGCGTCGCCTTGTGCACGGTGAACGCAATGTCCGGCCGTGTGCAACGCGCGATCCACAGAAGACTGCCGACGAGGGACTGGAACCTCTTGATTGTTGGCGCCTTCTGCACCTTAGTCTCGGTAACCAGCGCGCTGTCATCTGGTAGCACGTCGTAGCAGTCAGCCCCAATTGGCGCTTTCGTCGGGTTTGCATCCTCGAGCCCATGCTCACGCAGGAGCTCGCCGATCGCCTCGTCCTGGTCGAGCACGTAGCCGCCACTGTTATCAATCGTGACACGCATGCCGAGGAACTTGCTAACGGTACCGAGGTCCTTGATCGACAAGCTGCCGAGCTTGACGAAGAATCGGTCGACGGCTGCAGCATCCGTGCCGGTAGCAAGTTGATCTTCGACGTAGACGCCCACGATGACCAACTGTCCACCCTCGACTTGGTATTATAGACACATGTCGGAAATACATTGCGGGAAGCCGGCTTCGAGCAGCCGAGCGTGCAGGAGCTGGCTCCAGAGTCGGCCAGCCTGCTTGAGGCCGTACAGGCTCTTTCGTAGCTGCAGCACTACTTCCTTCTTTGTCGCTGCGCCTACCATCTTAAGCGCGTCTTGATCGATTTTCATTGCCTGCGGCACCTGGAGTAGTATCTCCAAGTGCGCTTTCTTTTCAGCCTTGACATACGCGTTGGGGATGTCGCCATGCTTTGCTGGGACACCCCATATCGCCGCAAGCGCCAAGATCACCTTCACGGTCGACAAGTCCATGATAGCCGCGGATGTAAGCTGGTAGTCGACCCCAAAAACTTGCTCGTTGCCGCAGGCGACCAATCGAGCCTTCAAGTGCTCTATCTCACCGTGCGCGTCGGTCTTGGTCTTGAAGACCCACTTCGTGTGCAGAGTGTTGCTGCCCGGAGGTCGCTTGATCAAGCGCCACACGCCATTGTCTTTTAGGGCTTGAAGCTCTTCGACGCATGGCCTTTTCCCAGCCTTCACGCTTAGTGATGCGTAGCGCTTCACCGTAGTTCTTGGGATCGCACTCATACACATGAGCCACCACGCTGTCGTCGCCAGCTGGCTCCTCCTGATCTGCGGCCGCCTGTGCGCGTTTGGTTGCGCCGCGCGTGTCCACGACTTCGATTTCTTCTTGACGCTGCGTATCGTCTGCGATGCGGCATCGTCAGCAGCCGGCGACTCTTTGCTTGTTGTTGCTGTTGCCGCTGGCTCCACGGCTCGATTTTCATACTCGAGCGCGCGCTGCAGCTGACCATTCTGCTCTGCGCTGAGCGTCTCGACGTTGCGCACATGCTGCGTGATCGTGACCTTGTTCTCCTTTTGGAGGAAGATGCGAAAGCCCTTAGTCTCGTCGCTCCGCCCAATGACCACGCCGACTTTTGCGCGCTGCACGAGCGAGTTCTTGACTGGGTCACGGTAGACCGAGCAAATAGAGCCAAAGGCGACGATGTCGCGCAGATCCGGCACTTGCTTCGTCAGTACCTCGATCGGCGACGCGCGCTTCGCATTCGCGCTCGTTGGGCTGCGGTTGAGGATGTACGCCGCGTACTCAACCGCATCGCCCCATAACGTCAATGGCAGTCGGCTGGCAAAGATCATGCTGCGCGCCATGTTCAGGATCGTCCTGTGCATGCGCTCGGCCTTGCCGTTTTGACGCCTGATTCCTCGCCTCGCTGATCTGCCGCGCGACGCCCGTTCGCTTGCAGAAGAGGTCGACATTCGCGTATTCGCCGCCGCCATCAGTGCGTAGCACGTGGCTCCGGCAGTCGAACTGGCGCTCAAAGAGCGCGAGGAAGTGCTTAAACTTCTTGGCCGCCTTGTCCTTTGTAGGCGCCAGGAAGATGCGACAGTAGTTCGACTTGTGATCGACAAAGTTGACAAGGTAACGATTGTGCAATCGATCCTTCGGGGTCATCGGACCCTTGAGGTCTGAGCAGATCACCCCGCCAGCTCTGTCGATCGGCGAGTTTGATTTAGTGTCCTTATTCGACTGCACGTTTGCGCAAGAGATGCACGTCGGTCGCTTGCGATCCGTTAGCACGATGCCGGACGCGGGGTCTCCCGCCATACGCTCGACGGTGTCGTACGCGAGATGCCCAAGCCTTTGGTGGAAGTGCAGCATCGAGCCGCTTTGCGTGTCCGACTCGGGTTATTCCAGAGCTGCCTGGCTCGTCAGGATCGCCATGAGCACGTCGCTAGGCGCTCGTCGCTCGCGAGCCGCTGCGACTGTCTGGACGTAGAGCACCTTGTGGTCCATCGCCACATCGAACGCGACTTGGCCATTGCTGCGTCGTGCCAACACGCGCGACTCGCCGTCGTAGACGAGCCCGAAACCCTTAATCTCGAGTTTATCGTAGGACATGATGTTGCGCGATAACTCGGGCGCCAGATAAACGTCCATCAGCGTCACATATTGCTGCTGTCCTCTCGCGAGCACAGTCAGCACGACGCTTCCGACTTGCGCTAACTTGATGGTCTCCCCATTTGCCAAGTGGCACTCTTGATCGCAGTCCCTCGCGTCGCGCAGCAGGGTTGCGTCGTTCACAAGGTGGCGGCTGGAACCGCTATCGAGTATCCAGTCGTCATCTTCGTCATCGCTGTTGTCACCAATCGCCATCGCCAGGCTTTGACCGGTGGCGCGAGAGACG